TCAAATAAATTTCATAAATAAAAGTAAAACAAATTAAAAGGAGCAGACTTTTTTTTATAAAGTTCAGATTTAAAACAGTGATGAAGGAATATTGTTTTTCTAATAAATGTGTTTTTTTTTTTTAAACAGTCTAAATTTGGAGTTAAAATGATCAAAAACTTTATCTGAAAGAAACTTGAAATCTTGATGATGAAATGATACGACACTGAGTAAACTAAAGTACTATTTTTGTGTCTATATATTAGTAAACATTATGTATTATTTTGTACATGGATGGAATTACATTCAGTTGAATAAGCGATACTTTTCCCCCTTTTTTAAATTGAGGCAGATATTGTAGGTTTTACTTCTTCTGTTCTTTTTATTTCATGATTTTTGGTGTTATATGAATGAATTAAGCTGTGTTTTATTGAATGAACAAAACTAAACTAAACTAACTGATCTGACTGTAGGAAGACTGAAGTTTGAGTCTTCAGAGTTCATTTAGCCAGATCTCTCAAAGGAACCCAGGATATGTAGATCCTGTTTGGTTGTTCCTGGTCCTGCTGTCCCACAGGGAGCATTGTTCGGTTTATTTTTCGTTAATCATGGTCCCTCCCTCTTCAGACTCGTTACTTCCAGCCTGCCTCTGTGTGTGTGAATGCTGCAGGCATCACTCAGGACAACTTCCTGCTCAACATGGATGAGGAGCAGTTTGACAGAGTCATCCGGGTCAACCTGAAGGTAGCAGATCAGTCAGCTAACAGGTCAAACCGTAAATAAGATATTTAAAAAAAGGTTTAATTTCAGTAACACACAGAATAAGAGGGAAGTTCTGTTCTTTTCAACATTATTTCTGACTTTCTTATATAACTTTTTAACTGTTGCCTCTGAAATGCCTGAAACAATTAAAAACTGCACAAATTGTATGAAATAATCCTAAACTGTTTGGAATAGAAATCAAAGTCTGGGGTCTTTAAAAAGTAGCCCTTTATTTTTTAACTGGGCATTTTTTAGTGATTAAAGGTGAAGCTACGGTAGTTAGAATTCAGAAATATGTTCTTGTAAAAACCAGATGCATCATGGCAGTTAAAGAGTTAAGGAAAGTAAAAAATTAGTTTATAGATAAAACTACAAAAATTTACTTTGTTCCGATTAGTTTATAATTTATTGATTGATTAATAAATAGAAACATCTCCTTCTCTCTTTGTGTCAGGGTTCGTTCCTGGTGACTCAGGCTGTGGCTCAGGCTCTGGTGGCCTGTGGAGCTCCTAAAGGATCCATCATCACGCTGGGCAGCATCGTAGGAAAGGTGAGGAATCTGTAGAAAACCACTGTGACCAGCAAAAGATGGAAGAAAGACCCAAACTTTACTTTTAGCTTCCTATTTTTTTTATTTTAAAGCATCCAGATGAAACGGGAACTAAACCGTCTTATGCTGAGGTTCCGGTTTAAAACCGGATATTCTGATGTTTGCAGGTGGGAAACCTCGGCCAGGCGAACTACGCTGCATCTAAAGCTGGAGTTGAAGGTTTAACCAGAACAGCTGCTAAGGAGTTTGGCAGGTTAGAGGAAGCAGATGCTGCAGAAACGATCATATAAAAACACTCTGAGCTGTTTCTGTTCTGCTCAGGTTTGGGATTCGCTGTAACTGCGTCCTGCCTGGTTTCATAACGACTCCGATGACGGATAAAGTACCAGAGAAGGTTCTGGAAAAGGTAAAGCCACAGACATGTTAGAGCTTTATCAGAACTTATTCATTATAACAAAGCTAAACTCAACATCACTAAGTTATTCTTACTGCAGATAAGTACATATAATGACATGATGCTGGTTTAATTCAAATTGAAGATGTTCTGCCTAAACATTATTTATGTTTTATTTCATTTACAGCAGGTTTAATATATATTAAACACGTTTGTGTTTTTTCTCTTTGTTATTGACATAAAATCCCAATCTGATTAGGACCTTTCAAATAATCCAAAAATAAATTTTTTTTAATCACTGCATGTTTAATAAATGGAAATAAATGTCAAACAGACCGACCGGGACATAAAATAAACTGGTTTGAATAAAAAACAGTTGATTGTTGGTCTGAGGTGTTTCCTGGATGGAGGAGCTGCTTTCGTGTTTTGCTCAGGTGTGATTTTATTCCATCTTCTGTTCATAACTTTCAGATGTAGAATAGTTAATTTAGAAAGCAGTTTACCTCAGTGTTTCAAAACATCAATCAAATTTAAATATTAACTTTTACGGTTGCAGTTTTTGCCCAATCAGGTTTCGGAAGAAATCACATTTTCATACATGGAGGTTTGAATTTTTATCTTGCTTAATAATAATAATATAAATATTACTATTTATGAAACAATTTTTTGCGTTTTAATAATGTTGTTGCTGATTTTTTTTTTTATATGGATTTAATGTCAGTAGCTCTACTATTAATTCATTTTCTGAGATAAAGCTTAGAACTGATCTTAACACTATGATCTCCATGTTTTTTTTTTTTTTCATATTTAGGTTTATTTTCTCTGCAGTAAAACAAGTTTCAAACTTTATGTTCTCTTTGAAAAGGTCATTCTTTTGTGAAACTTTATTTCTTTGTGTTTCAGATGAAGTCTCTGGTTCCTCTGGGTCGAATGGGGGAACCTGCAGGTTGGTTCTGATCATTAAACTCATTTAACAGCTTATTTTCAAACAAATCAGGATTTATTCTCTGCACGTTTATCCTGCAGATTTTACTTTAACAACACACACATTAATCTGTTTTGGATAAAAACTGTTACCTGTTCTGTCCTGTAGAGGTCGCTGATGTTTGTGCCTTTCTGGCTTCAGATGATTCTCGCTACATAACAGGAGCCAGCATCGAAGTCACAGGTGGAGAGATTAACTCCTCAGCAGGATTTCAAATAACATCTCCCTTCAAACCATTGAAGGTTTAACATTTATTTATTGATTTTTTTTTTCAGGTGGACTTTTTATCGGTTGAAGAAAACAACCTGTTGATGAACCCAAGCAACAACAGCACTTAATTAACATGTAAAGTTTAGTTAATATTTGTAATTATAAAGCTTCTTTTGTACCAATAAACACCTGAATGTCAGACTGGACTGCAGTGCTTTATGAAAGATATAATTATTTCAAACCTGATAGTAAATAAACTTTTCCTTCCTCTTGTATTTTTGTGCAGCTGGGATTCAAACCAGCAACTTTATATTTATTCACATCTATTATTTCCTTCTTAGAGCAGATTAACCCCATTAATGACATTTCTGAAGTTTATTCTCTAAGGTTTGGTGATTTCTTTTGAAACTGGGATCTCATCATCCTCAGATGTTGCAGGTCATAAAACTGTCAAATTGTTTCCTCTAAATACAATCGACACCACAAAAACAATAATTTGGAAAAAAAAAAAACAGAAACTTAAAGATTGAAAAGCAGCTTTGCTCCTTTAGAGCTGCCAAAGTAGGAAAACATGGGTTAGATATGTCTCTATTTTAAAAAGCTGAGAAGTTTCTAAAATACCTTAAATAATAATTTCATATCTAGATGAAGTTTAAATGTTCACTTTTTGTCTGTAAATAATTTACGGAATGTTGTTTATCGCTTTAAAAACATCAGAGCTCCGAAAAACTGAAGAAAACCCCAGAAAGGCAGAATGTCTGACTGTCCACTAGAGGGAGTTGTTTCCCCCTTTCAGGTGAAGGTAATGCTCAGCTTCAATTTGATGAAAACAAAAATAATGGAATGAGGGGTAGATGTAGAATGAAAACACTCATCTAAAAAAAAAAGACAACAAAAAGTTTTTTTTAATGTTTTCAGAGCACCTCCTATCAGTAAGTGCTATGAAAAGTAATTAGTTTCCATTTCTATGATAGGTTCCAAAAGATTTAACAACTGAAAATTCAAATGAATAAATATTAGTACCAAAGCTGTAACTCTCTTGTTTATTTATGCATAAAAAAATCTGAGAATGTTTTAATATTTTCATTTTTTTTTAATATAATTTCATCTCTTTTCTCTGTGATTTTTAAAACAATTTATACAAAAACAGGCTTCTGGTACTTTAGCTTCTTTTGAACTTTATTCTATTTCTTAACAGCGTTCTGTCCTTAAAGAAGAAAACCAAGAGGTGCTGTTGTAAACTTAATTATCTTTGCGGGTTTGCAGAGATACAGATGAAAAAAGGGAGACACATTTTGTCACTTCAGTAACAATTAACCATTTGTCTTTGGACACACAAAGCTGCTTTATTCTTTAATATTTTTTGATCAAATGATTTATGGGTCTGAATAATGAGGAACACTACAAAAAGTCCTCAAATTATAGTGTTTGCAAAAAAACAGCCAAAGTGCTCATAAGAATTTCGAAAGAGGTTTAGAAATACTTTAAATGAAGGAAGACCAGTTTAAAATATTAATCTGGCTGAAAAATATATGAAAAACTATAAAATTGTACCCCCTTTTTGTTAAATCAGATGACAACTCTTAATGAGTTGCCCAAAAACAGTGATGCCTGGTGGTCAATTTACAGGAAAGGCAGCTTCTCCTTTAGATGGTTTGTTGAAAGAAAAACAAAGAGTCATAAATCTCCTTTTAAAAAGATTATATATTAACCAAACAAACTTTTTAAAAATTACTTACAGACATTATAAAATAAAACTTTTCAGCACCATATTTTCATGTTGAAATGTTTTCAACACCACAAAAACAAATAGTCGAGGTCCTTCTCAAAGAAGAAGGACAGATTGGTTTGGTTTAATCTTAGGGCCGCCCCCCCACCCCACTTTACTGCTATAATTGAAATATAAAAAAAAAACAGAAATCTATAGTCAGAAATCAGCCCATGGTTGCAGGATTTTCTCCTCACTCCATCTTGGCCTGTCCTCCCCTCCCACTCACCACCTTCCTCCCACTCGCCTCAGTCTCACATAGAAGAAAAAGAAAGTTAAAGATTTTGTGTTTTAGAAACTTTGGTCCTGACAGCTGCATAAAATGGACTCTGTTAGGAAGGAAAGAGGAATGTTCAGATCTGGGAGTCACTGTTTAATCAATATAGTGGAAGCAACATTTAAAGGCACAGTACAGCTGATAAAAACATCAGAGGATCTAACAACGAGACACGGCCACAGATTCTTTGGTTTGACAGGAACTTTGTTCAGGGTTCGGACAGAAGCGCCGCAGCTCCGGCTGACTGAGTTCAGGGTCACGCTTCAGTCGAGCCGCATTCAAATAAATACAACTGAAACACGTCCGTCTCAAATTTTATTCTAAAGCACCCTGACTGGTTTAAATAAATACAATAAAATATTGCTATTTCTGTACAAATGTACTGTAATGCACATTTCCCTCCTAAAAGGCTTTGTGAAATAGAAAAGAGACTAAAAATGGGAGGATTTTTGTGTAATTAGCACCTTGCCACACAGTTTATTCAGTAATTCAGCCCTAAAATGTACCCAGAATAATTACTGCGATGATTTAAAGGATTGTTTTCTTTAAAAGATGCCAGAAACATTCATAAACAACAAAATGATGTTTAGCACAGCTTATAAAAATGGCTTAAACATTACTGAGGAAGGCAACATCATCATCTTCATGTCTGCAGCAACAAAAGATGAAACAAATGACTATAAAAAGCACCTTGAGGAACACTTGAAGTGGGAATCAGATGTCAGAAAGCGGAAGATGAAACCTCAGAATGAGGAGGATAAAGAATCAGATCATGCGGACGTTTATATCTGGGTAGAAAACTGATGCCATCGATTCTTTACTTTCTTCTGACCTCAAACGACACGAGGTGAGATGCAAACAACATGATTAACATGTGAGTAAAAAAACTAGAAGTTAGCACCCAGAAATAATCCAGATTAGATGTGCAACAGCTACATTTGGTCTGAGTTTTGTCTCTTCTTTAGACTGAATCAGATTCTGTTCATGAGGTAAAACTAAGCATCTCGAAAAAAACACATTAATTCAAGTTTTTACATAAAATCAAAAGGATTTAAAGCCGACCGGCGCTAAAGCTGAGAACCAGAGCGACTCTTGTGATTGACGGGTTCATGGCTTTCTGTTTTATGGTGTTTGTTAATCATGTTGCTGCACATTAAACGTGGAAATAAAAAGATGTTTGGATGTGACTCTTCTTTCAGCAAGAGGTGGGGGAGGGGGGAGGAGGAGAAAGAAGGACAGAGGAGTGAGATGGGGCGGGGTGGAGACGAGGGAGCTTCCTGCTGACGGTTCAATCTTCAGGATTTCTTCTTCTTCTGCTCCTAAAAACAATGTTTGATTCCAGGAATGTTCTCTCCTGGTTTCCTCCTCCTCTCATGCCGTCATGCTCCCAGGCGTTTCTCTCCTCTTCACAAGTTTGATTTGTTTTTTTTTTAGTCCATTAGTCGCTGGGAAAACGTTTCCCGAGGCACATGTGTGAGGATGAGTGTATCTGTGTGGGTTTATGTGTTTTTTAATATCATTTACAAGTAAATTTACAAATTACTGGGCATGGATGTTGATCATGTGTGTGTGTTTAAGTGCAGGTGTGTATGTGTGTGAGAGTGTATGTTGGTGTGTTTTAGTGTGTGTTCAGCCCTGGAAACAGACAGGTCCAACTTCAAAGCCAAACTGCTGGTTGTTCTCCCCAAAGTCTGTAACCTTGATGTCCAGCAGAGGGAGATGCTCCAACTGCGGCGTGTTGATCTCCAGGACCGTCCTGTCAAAGCCTTTACGGTACTGTAGGAGAGAAAAAGAGACACTTTAGTGACATCATCTCAGTTATACTGGTTAATAAGACGCATCTGGGCTGATCCAGTTTGGAGAAAATGAAGCAAAATGCTTCTCTGAACAAACCAACGTTTAGCGGATGGATCTGGATGAACATCTCTGGTAGTTTTCAAACTATAACTGTTTAATCTTTAGAAAAATTAAGTCCAAACCTGGATTGTTGAGCTGTTTGAATCTGATTAAAGCTTCAGGTTGTTCTAAAGTAGCTGCTTTCACAGCAGGTTCAGTAAAATCATACATAATTATAGCCTCATTATTCTTTCATAGTGTCTGAAACAAACCTGAATGTTTGAAAATCATCTGCAGAATGTTTTCTTCTTAACAAGTTAACGAGCTGTAGGGTGTGTGAGCAGTTATTGGCACTGACGTTTTACTGAATAGGTTCTGGGTTTAAATCCTTTTCTATTTGGATACTCTGTCTTCAGCTGTGATTTCTCATTGAATACCAGTGAGGCTAAACCTCACCTCTAAATTTCATAAAATTATTGGTCCAATGCATTGTTAAACCCCATATACGTAGTTATTGAACAGAATTAACTGTGCTAAATTTGATGAGTATTTTGCACATTAATCAGCTGCTCTGCAGCAGGATGCTGCCCGTCAGTCTCTATGAGAAATCCTTGTTTAGATTAGAGCCTCTGTGCATTGAAGCATCTAGTGAGGCAAACAAGCAAAAATATGTCATTTCAAGTGAAACTAAGCCTCTCTTGGAACCTATGTAGCAGGGGCGGGTCATGAAGCTGGCAGCTTGATGCTGATTGGTGGAACAAGGTAAAATAATTTACTAACTAAGTCGAACCCTTGCCGTGGTTTCTGGAGTTTATTATTTCAGAGTGCTTCATAACAGCTATTTTCAGCCTTTGTATTGATGGGTTTATGTGTTTCAACATTTGTTAAAGCAGTATACATTAGGATGTTTGGATTAAATTAACACCATTAACCATCCTTCCTTTTCAGAAACCTGCAGCTGCTACTCTGTTTTCCTGTCACAGTGTAAAAAGATGCATTTTGGGTCAACTGGTCTCTGAACTGGCCGTGGGTGTAAGTGAGGGTGAATGGTTTGTTGTTCGGTCTATGTTTCTGTTTCCCTGGTTCGGACCAGCAACCTGCTAATAACCTTTCATCAATAAGCAGGCATAGTAACATGTCTGAGCATGACGTTAGTCACGTGGTAAAAGGCAGCTAAAGCAGAATAAATACATCTGGTAATGAAGATGGAGATTCTTCTTAGAAGCAGAGGTGAACCTAAATGTTACATCACCAGAAATTGTGATGACACCATCTCCGAATAACACCTCAGTTACTGCGTTTCCACTGAGTGGTTCTGTTTGGTTCACTGTGGTTAGGAGGTGTTAGCCACTGGATATGAAGGGGTTATACCAAATTGCTAGTCTAGCATCATATCTTCATAGCGTGACGTCTTTCTGTCCAACAACCAATGGATCATTCAGCGTTATGCCAGTAGTCCCGCCCTAAACGAACCAAACTATTACTCTTTCACCGTAATTCAAAAGTAGAGCTATAAATGATGCAGTTTGGTAACTTTGTCTGAACCACTGAGTGGAAACGATCTGTCAGAGAACCAATGGGACTGAGATGAGTTTCGGACTCACAGAGCAGCCGTCCACCAGCGCTTTGATGTAAGGGTTGGTCTCGTAGCTCAGCTCCTCGTCGTTCGCTCCTCTGAAGTGCAGCGCCCTCTTGTGGTTGTTCTTGGCGCTCCGGTCGGCCCAGGCCACCGAGCGGTGGCAGTGGTATGTGAGGTTCTGACGGGCCTGGACGCTCAGGAGACGCAGGAAGCCCAGCTGGACCACCCCCACGGGCTCGCCGTTAGAGTCCATGTAGGAAAACTGAGGAAGGAAAGATGGAGGAGAAACGGTGAAGCTCAGTGGAGTCCTGAAGAGAAGGTAAACACTGAAAGCAGATGCTCACTGACCTTACTGCCAGCAGAAAACTGACTGAACCACGAGCCGGGAGTCTCTCCGCTCCAGGAGCTCATCTTCACCTGCCATCAGAATTATCAGCAGAACATTAGTGAAGTTAAACTAGTCTGGTTGGAGTTTTTCATGGAGTCTGTAGGAAAACATTTCTACACCCAGAAACAGCTGATCTAAACCCTGGATCTGAACTTTCAAATAAACTCATGATTCAAAAGATCTGGTTTAAACTTCTCCCTCATGTTTCCTCCAGCAGAAAATCTTTTAATGATTCTGACTCACCGAGTCGACGCCTTTCCTGGGGTACAGACACGTCTCTCCTTTAGTAAAGTTACAGTAGACCTTGAAGGAGTCTCTGGAGCAGCCCTGGTTGGGATCTATCCAGTATTCTCCTGCAGGAAAAAAGAATGGAATCCTCAGGTTAGAGTCTGTTTGATAGTTTTTGGCTTTGAAGTCTTTAAGGTTTAATTTTTTAAGTCTAAAATATGAGTCAGAGTCAAACATGGCTACAGTCTAGTGGGTAACATTTGGACTTGTTTCTGTACCGTCCTGGAGGTCCGGCTGGCTGAGGTGCAGGTCCTGGCAGGTCCGAGCGGGGCTGTCCTGGGTGCCCAGAGGGAACCGGATGGTTTCGATCTCCTGCCGCAGTGAATCCAGAGAACCAAAGATCTCCTCCATGCCCTCGCTGCCCATCATGAACTCGGTACCGGCGGTGTCGGATGCTAGCATGTCCGGGTCGAACTCTGGCATCATCTTGCTGGCATCGATGGAGCGTTTGGACTTTGGACTCCTCTGGATGGGGATGGGCTGGATGACCTCGCCTGGTGGACCCTGGAAGCAAGTTTAGGTTCTAACCCACCGACTGGAGACCAGATGGAGGTTTGAGAACAGCAGGAGGTACTTACAGGAGGCCCAGGAGGTCCCTGTACTCCCTTTTCTCCTTTTGGACCAGATCCTCCCTGAAGGATTAGAGTCAGATATAAAATCCATGCTTTCATTTTTATTATTTTTGAAAAACTGACATGATTTAAGTGGTTTAACTTACTGTTGCTCCCTTTGCTCCTTTGACACCTTGGGGTCCCTGGAAACAGATAAAAGTGTTAATTTAATAAACTGAATCTAAATCAGGTAAATAAAAAGATGAGATGTTTGTAGTTTGTTTCTGTATGAGGACTCACAGGAAGACCAGGAGGACCAGCAGGGCCCAGAGGTCCGGCGCCTCCAGACATTCCCTGATATTAAACACAGGATGAGGCAGAAATGATTACAAGTTTGACATTTATTTTGAAATCAGCAGGAAGTTTGTAGATATCAAACTTACAGGCTCTCCTTTGGGTCCAGAGGATCCCTGTGGTCCTGGCAGACCTCTGTCTCCTTTCTCTCCCTGCTCTCCTGGAGGCCCAATCAGACCAATCAGACCCTGGTGTCCCTTCTCTCCCTTTGCACCAGGTTCTCCACGCAGACCAGGTAAACCAGGAGGTCCCTATAGAGCAGGAGGACAAGAGAAAGATGAGAAACTAAAAATTACCACAGAAATGAGTTCAGCTTTGGAAAGTTTATAAAGCAGCAAAACTAAAAAGGATTTAATGGTCCCACCATAGGTCCAGGGGGGCCTTTCTGTCCTGCAGCTCCTGGAGCTCCTTGCTCACCCTGAACAAAACAAAAGCAAACATGGTTGTTTAGTTTTTGCATTTTCTAATATAGATATTAATCAAATGAAACCCCGAACGCACCACTGATCCTGGCAGACCTCTGAGGCCCTCTGTTCCTGGTTTTCCTGGCTGACCCTGGGGGCCAACAGGGCCCGTCTTTCCAGGAGCGCCAACTGCTCCTGGGCCTCCCTGTGAAAAATGACAACATTCATAATCAAGAATCTATATTTTCCCAAAGCCATAAAAACCTTCTAATAGACTCATGCAGACAAAACTAAAAGCACCGGTAGCAGATAGAAAGGTAGTATTTCCATAAAGTGCAGCCGGTGCCAAGCCAGACTGTGGAACGTCTGGATGCTCTGTTTAATTATTCTGAGGTGTGTGTAGATATTAAATAGATGTAAAAACTCTACAAATTGTGACGTCAGAGAGGTAATCATTAAATATCTAGAGTAAAACCTTTAAAGTGTGTGTAAATAGATCAGTTTGTTGTATAATTGAGTAACTTTTTGTTCTTATAGACTTTATTCTTGGTCCAGCTATAAAATTTTAAAGGTTTCCCTTTTTTCTCAATTTATCTATTTATATATTTTACATCAGGCTGTTGGAAATTAACCCTTTCAGAAAATATTCAGGCTTTGATGATTTTTATATCTAACAGTAAATTGAAATATTTTCCTAAAACCCATTTAAACATCATTGTTGCCGACTATCTGGGGCTTTTTCTGTCTTTCATTTCTCCATCGTTGGTTGGTTGGAACTAGATATTGGCCGGCGTAGAAGATAAATGTGTTACGGATTCATTAGTGCACTGGGATCATGTGAAGCTCATGTTGCTGCTCCCTCTATTTAGTATCCATTATTAATGTTCCAGTTTGTTAATAAATGAATATGTTTTTGTTCAAATTAAAACACATGTAACAATTTTTTTTATCACTGTGGGATTTTTATCATACTTTACAATTTTTTTCCCAGAAACCAGAAAAAAATATTTTGGGATCACTTTTAAACCATGATAGGTTATATTTATTAGACATAAAGATCATCTAGAATAAACAGAATTAAATGCTGAGGACTCACTTTGGTTCCTTTCTCTCCTTGTCGTCCTTCTGGGCCCCTCGTTCCAGCGGGACCCTGACATGTTAAACACAAAGAAATGTTTAAAACCGAGAAATTAATCTATAAAAGTTTAATTCATTCAGTGATTTTTAAGGTAAGGAGATTTTAACTCCTTCCAGCTCATCAGAAGCAGAAGCTATCAAACGGTGAAGGTGGTCTCACCCTCTTCCCAGGGGGGCCGGGTGGTCCGTTCTCACCAGGAGGTCCTGGGGAGCCCTGTCACATAGAGAAATGAATTGTTAATATTAAGAGGACTGAATTATTCAGGTTTAATCTCCAATAGCTGGAATATTATGAAAAAGCAGAGCATTTTTTGCACTGTCAGGAAGTCTAAATTGATGTAATCTATGGATTAATTAACCAAAGTTCAATATCTCAGATAATGGACATATTTATCTGATCAAAAAAAAAAAAAAAAATATGATGAATATAAAAGACTGGTTTCTGAAAATAAGCATTTCTGTCAGGAAGAGCTGTAGCTTCACCACCATCAGAGTCTGAATGACAGCCTGTGGTTCTGCTCCGGTGTTCTGGAAGCCCAGGTTCTGATCGATGCTTTTAAAGTCATTGGTCTTGTTTGTTCTGGTGTCTTCTTGACATTAGATTATCTAAGTGGTTCTGGTCAGATCAGTCCTCTGGCCAATTAACCACAGTACCATATTGTTAATTGGACCAGCTGTTGGAACCTCTAGCAGAGCGGGACATTACTAGACCTAGACTCAACTTTATTTATCTCTGGAAAAAAATGAAATCTAGATAAGTCATTTTTTCTTAAAATAAGTGCATTTGGTCTTGGATTGAGGAGGTAAAAGAGACATTTTCTCAATGGAACAAGACAATTTACTGTTAAAATAAGAAAACACAATTGCATTGTCCTATTTCAAGTGCATGTTAACTAATTATCTTTTTAATTAAGACTTAAATTACTAATTCGTTTGGCAAAATATCTCATTTACCGACTTAAATAATTTTTGGTTCCAGTAGATTATATAGAGTACAAAGAGTTAAAGCAAGATGCCATTAAAGATAAAACTAAGACAGACAATATAAAAAGAGAGTATATAGTACAAAAAAGCATTAAAAAAGAAAAATTTGTAATGTCCTGGAATATGTCTCCTGTGGATATAAAAAAAATCTGCACAGTAGAGAGCTAAGGGAAGACTACATAGAAGTTGACTTGGGTTATTGTACTTGTACTGCAGAGATGTACTGACCTATAAATAAGTTTAAAAAAAATCAACTTACAGGTGCTGGTCATAAAATTAGAATATCATGAAAAAGTAGATTGATTTCAGTAATTCCATTTAAAAAGTGAAATTTGTATATTATATTCATACATTACATACAAACTCATATATTTCAGATGTTTATTTTGTTTAATTTTGATGATTACAAATGACAACAAATGAAAATCTCAAATTCATCATATCAGAAAATTAGAATATTACTGAAGACCAATAAAAACAAAGGATTTATAGAAATGTTGGCCAACTGAAAAGTATGAACATGAAAAGTATGAGCATGTACAGCACTCAGTATTTAGTTGGGCCTCCTTTGGCCTGTATTACTGCAGCAATGCGGCGTGGCATGGAGTCGATCAGTCTGTGGCACTGCTCAGGTGTTATGATAGCCCAGGTTGCTCTAATAGTGGCTTTTAGCTCTTCTGAATTGTTGGGTCTGGTGTATTGCATCTTCTTCTTCACAATACCCCATAGATTTTCTATGGGGTTAAGGTCAGGAGAGTTTGCTGGCCAATTAAGAACAGGGATACCATGGTCCTTCAACCAGGTACTGGTAGCTTTGGCACTGTGTGCAGGTGCCAAGTCCTGTTGGAAAATGAAATCTGCATCTCCAAAAAGTTGGTCAGCTGCAGGAAGCATGAAGTGCTCTAAAACTTCCTGGTATGTGGCTGCGTTGACCCTGGACCTCAGAAAACACAATGGACCAACACCAGCAGATGACATGGCACCCCAAACCATCACTGACTGTGGAAACTTTACACTGGACTTCAAGCAACGTGGATGAAGTGCCTCTCTTCTTTTCCTCCAGACTCTGGGACCTTGATTTCCAAAGGAAATGCAAAATTTACTTTCATCAGAGAACATGACTTTGGACCACTCACCAGCAGTCCAGTCCTGTTTCTCTTTAGCCCAGGCAAGACGCTTCTGACGCTGTCTGTGGTTCAAGAGTGGCTTGACACAAGGAATGCGACAGCAGAAACCCATGTCTTTCATACGTCTGTGTGTGGTGGTTCTTGAAGCACTCACTCCAGCTGCAGTCCACTCTTTGTGAATCTCCCCCACATTTTTGAATGGGTTTTGTTTCACAATCCTCTCCAGGGTGCGGTTATCTCTCTTGCTTGTACACTTTTTTCGACCACATCTTTTCCTTCCCTTCGCCTCTCTATTAATGTGCTTGGACACTGAGCTCTGTGAACAGCCAGCCTCTTTAGCGATGACCTTTTGTGTCTTGCCCTCCTTGTGCAAGGTGTCGATGGTCGTCTTTTGGACAACTGTCAAGTCAGCAGTCTTCCCCATGATTGTGTAGCCTATAGAACTAGACTGAAAGACCATTTAAAGGCTTTTACAGGTGGTTTGAGTTAATTAGCTGATTAGAGTGTGGCACCAGGGGCCATCAATTTTGAACCTTTTCACAATATTCTAATTTTCTGATATGATGAATTTGAGATTTTCATTTGTTGTCATTTGTAATCATCAAAATTAAACAAAATAAACATCTGAAATATATGAGTTTGTATGTAATGTATGAATATAATATACAAGTTTCACTTTTTAAATGGAATTACTGAAATCAATCTACTTTTTCATGATATTCTAATTTTATGACCAGCAGCTGTATACGTTTGAGACGTGTTATACATTGAGACATTAGCTTTATACTCCCTGCAGCATTCATCGTTAAATTTGTAAGAAATTAGAGCTTTAAATGTTTATCTCTTAATAATGAATCTCTGCGTTTCTCATGAGCAAAAACAAACAGATTTTTAATGTTTAATCCTGAGATCTGCAGTGTTTCATCATTTACTGACCGACTCGCCCTGTTCACCGTCCTCTCCTCTCTCACCCTTGGCCCCATCTTGACCCTGAAAACAAAATCACAGACTGTTGATGCATCCATTACAGCATGTTAGCAGTAGCTGCTGAAGTGAATTAACAGCAATAAGAAATGAAAAATCTAAACTTGAATCCCTGAAACAAACTTACTCTGGGTCCGACCTCACCAGGGGGACCAGGATCGCCAGGGAACCCAACTGGACCCTGAAGTTAGATGGAAAACGAATGTTACTTTCTGGCAGAGATCAGAACATCTAAAGGCACGAAGCTTGCCCGGTTGGGTTTTATCGTGTCCTACTGGGTTTCCTTTGGGTCCATCATCTCCAGGTCGTCCTCTTCCTCCTGCAGGTCCAGGAGTTCCAGGTTGTCCAGCCTCTCCCTTCTCTCCACGCTCTCCACGAGGTCCCTGCCAACAGCAACACACCTGTTCACATCCCTCACGTCCCACCCTACATGTCCAGGTCTACATGTCCCAATCTACACACCCCAGTCTACACATCGCAGTCTATATGTCCTACTCTACCTTTCCTATTTTACATGTCCCACTCTACACCTGCTGGTCTACACATCCCACCCAACATGTCCCAATCTACACATCCCAGTCTACATGTCCTACTCTACCTTTCCTATTTTACATGTCCCACTCTACACCTGCTGGTCTACACATCCCACCCAACATGTCCCAATCTTTACAACCCAGTCTACACGTCCCTGTCTACATGTCGCAGTCTATATGTCCCAGTGTACACGTCCTACTCTACATGTCCCATTGTTACACGTCCCAGTCTACACATCCCACTCTACATGTCCCATTTTACATGTCCCATGCTACACGTCCCAGACTCCATGTCTCACTCTACACGTCCCACTCTACATGTCCCATTTTACATGTCCCATGCTACACGTCCCAGACTCCATGTCTCACTCTACACGTCCCACTCTACATGTCCCACTCTATGCGTCCCACTTTAAAAGTACTGGTCTACACTTCCTGCTCTACACGTCCCACTCTGCATGTCCTGGTCTACATGTCCCAGGCTACATGTCCCATTGTACACGTCCTGGACAACATGTCTCAGTCTACAAGTCCCACTCTACATCTCCCATTCTACATTTCTTGGTCTACATGTCTTGATCTTGTGTTTGATGCACAACCTTTGTGCTGTTATTACAGATGTAAAAATCACTGCTGATGTCAAGAGGAGCACATTAACTATAGATTCATGCATTTTATTACACTTTTTTTAAATGTGTCTTGCAAGCTTTGGAGAACCACTGCTGCCAGCAGTAGTATTGCTAAGTGACAGGCAGTGGATCATGTAGCATTTCAGTACATTGTTCACTGCTATGGTGGCATTTTTAGTCCCAAAAAATGTATTATTTCTGTTGTTTGATGGATCAGTTGTGGTTGTGGTTGTGGTCCGGTTCCCTTATCTGGACAACATAAGTCTATTCACAGCTAAACATAAGGTCTGGACCAGGTTGGAAACAAGCTCTAGTCCGTTTAAAGTGGACCTAACATGTTCGGTTTTCACAGAGTGTTCTGGTTGGACTCTCAGATTCCCACCTTCTTTCCAGGTTCTCCTCCAACACCAGGAGGTCCAGCTTCACCAGGTTCTCCCTAAAGGACAGAAAAAAGATGTTTAAACCCGCTCCCTTATGAAAGTCAATTAACTTTTGTTATAACGCAGCACCTTTTCTCCAAGAGGTCCAGGGTTGCCTATACCACCAGGAGGACCTTGAGGACCCTGAAACACAGATTAGATGATCTGATGACGATAGTTTGGATCCTAATAACCATCATACTTTATTAGAAACCAACAACTAGGAAACTAGAAGTAAAGCTCTGAACTTACGTCAGCTCCACTGGGACCAGCAGGACCGCGGGGTCCAGGAGGGCCCGGTGGACCCTGGAGACAGGAAGAGGTTTGGGTTTATTGTTGGTTATGGTTTACTACAAAGGAGAAATCACATCTTTGGTCATAAAATAACTAAGATGATTCAGTTAGACTCACCATGGGGCCAACGTCGCCTGTTTCTCCTTTCTCACCAGGGGGGCCCGGCAGTCCCTGTAGAACAGAAGAGTTGGATAAAAACTCTTTAGCTGAAGGATTTAAATCAATGGAGAAGTTTAGAGATACTGAAGAGCAGCTCAGATGGTTTCTAAATACAGTTATCTTTGAACCTTGAGGCTGCTTTTACCTGCAGTCCGATTGGTCCCGGGGCCCCTGGGAACCCTCGAGTTCCTTCATCACCTTTAGCTCCAAAAGGCCCCTGCTGGCCCCTCGGTCCAAGTTCTCCATCTGCTCCCTGCAGTACAGATAAAACGATACAAACACATCAACCAACAATCAGAAACACAAAGTTGAAACAATCAGGAATAAATAAAAGAAAGTTTAGACTTACAGCAGGGCCGGGCTGACCCACTGGACCCATGGGGCCGGGGGGACCAGGGGGACCCTAAGGAAACAATAAACTATTAGCTAAGCAGCGATGATACAGCGGAGAAACAAGTTTAAATATTTGACTCTGATTATAATTAAAATAAGAGGCGTTATCAGCGTCACTCACATGTTCTCCCTTTCCTCCCTTGGCGCCTTTCTGACCATGTTCTCCAACTTCGCCCTGAAACAACAAAAGAACATAAGATTGGACATAGAACCCAAAAATATCAAAACCAAAACTTTGTCATTTAACATGTTCAGTTTTTCCACTGTTTTATCTACAGTTTTGAGCTGTGAATGTGCTTTAAACCTGTTAAATAAAACGTTGGACGATTTACTTACCTTATCACCATCCTCTCCTGGAACTCCTGGTGATCCAGCAGGTCCAGGCAGACCCACCGGTCCTTGGACTCCGTCCCGACCTGCTGGGCCAATAGGTCCTTTTTCTCCCTTAACAGGAGAATGAAACATAAATATCCTGTTTTATTTTCCTGCAGCCAGACGTTTTGAGTTAAATGAGCCTTTAGGTTCATAATATTTCATCAAAGATAAAGAAAAACATATGATTATCTCACAGGAACTCCTTTCTCTCCAGCTGGTCCAGGAGGTCCTTGTGGACCTGGTCTGCCAGGAGGTCCCACAGTTCCAGCAGTCCCAGCTGGGCCCCTCTCACCAGGAGAACCCTACAAACACATGATCACAGTAGATGTTCTCTAAATGAAGGATCATTGAGTTTTGATTTTTAAAATATTAATATAAACGTGTTAGATAGAACATACAGCAGGTCCAGGAGGTCCAGGAGGGCCTTCGCTTCCCTTTAGTCCTCCACCGCCCTGGAAGTAAATATCAGAAAAAAGAAGTTTAAGTCTAAAGACACATACTTTATTCTAGATAAAATGGGAAAAGCCCTAAAAACGAATTTCTGGTAATAAAATTAAGAACAGATCATTTAAACCATTAGAAGCAGCTCTGCCTTTTTATCTCCTTCTAAACATTGGGCTTTAAATGCCAACAGTTTCTTCCTGTTTACTTCAACTTCCACTTCCTGAATGTTTTATCAATGAAAATGTGCTACAGAATTTTTAAATGTCTGAATCAGAATTAAAGAAATGAGAAGAATCTAGGAACTTATCAAAAAAAAAAAAAAAACATTTATCTGATAATTATTTTTTGTACTTAACCCTTTGGACATCATGGGAAAGTGCTGACATAAATTTTCTGCCTTTTTTAACTACCCACAGTCCTGGGCTGCAACACAATCACTATCATCTGGCCTACTGATAGCACAGGAGGGATCACCTCCCCGAAATAAAAACAGGAACTACAAGAAAATAAACACAATTCAGACCAGTTTTACTTATGTTTAATATTGACCAACATTGGTATTTACATTTATTGATATCGATATCTAATCATGCTTCTCTCTCTGATGGTCTTTAGGCCTCATCAGGCTCCTTCTACCAGGCCGCCTCCTTCAGGATAAATTCTCTGTGCCAAAGTAAAGTTTTCTGAGTTTCATTTCAGACACTTTTATTGGCTCACATTTAAACAACATTTATAGTGAATTAATTAAACTTCACCATATTTGGGGCCTACCATAAGCATAGCATAGGAGAGCAGTCAATGCTTTGCAAAATAAAGGCCTCTTCATTACGCACAATAATTCATGTAGGCATACGGCTCACTGTTGTGACCCAAACCTCAACCAGTTTCTTGAAATTATACTAACAAAGCCAATTACCACAATTGTAAATGCATTTGATATCACTGAAGAGTCTGAACTTATGCTTAAGACCTTCAAAATAAGACACCAGGTGCTCTACAAAATAAAAACCTAAATAATATACTGAGAAAATCATTGCATTATAAGGATCTTTATCATGATCCCAGTCATCACTAAGTCTGGCGATGCCAGTCGTCACTAGGTGTTGTGACTTCAGTCGCCATCAAGCATGAGCAAGGAAGTTGCCACCTGGTAAGAAGACATATGCCGACACAAGGTTTCTCCCTCTTACCTGATGTAAGGTGAACCCAACTAACCCCATTAAGCCTTTGGTGCCAGGTCAAATATTGTGCACCAAGTGGCCGGCCCCTTCTATATTTGTTTAGAAATGTTCTAGTTATTTTTATAATTCCTCCAAACTACTGATGGAAAAAAAAAGCTACAGAATACTAATAAAATGATAATGATCCTGATGCAAAACAACCAGAAGGCAGCTGCTCTGCTGGCTTATAAAATAGGATGACAACATCTGTTAATAGAAGATGAAATGATCCAATTTTTTAGTGATAAGGTCCCAATTTTTCAAAAGCATCATCCCATCAGAATATAGAAGATCTCAGTTTTAATTTTCTTTGTAAAAAGGATTAACATAATAATGAGGAATAATTAGCAGTTAGTGTTTATATTTCGGAAATGTAACGCATAATGCATGTTTCTATAAGACAACCAAACTGTGTTAATCTTCTAAAACACCTGAACAAAAAGTTTCATTTGTACTTTAACAGACTGAATATAGCAGAGGAAATAATAGTGAGCAGATGAATGGAAATAGGTTTAGTTTTTAGCCAAGAAAGCAGATTTAATATCATCTAGTTTTTTAAACTAGCCCAGCATGTAGGTCTGAGTGGTGAATAGTTGGTCTGAACTACATTGTGATGTGAAATAGTCCAGATCTTCTTTTACTTATAGTTTATTTAGATACACATGAAAAATATTTGCATTTCTTAAGAAGTAAAAAAAACAAACAAAAAAACTCTCCCTTGAGATTGTTTTGATATTTTTAATTCTTGCAGTTTTCTGTCTTTCTCCTTGTTTTACTCACAGGGGTTCCAGGAAGACCTCTCTCTCCAGGGAAACCTCTCAGACCCGGGGGCCCGTCCTTCCCAGGGCCTCCTGGAGGACCGGGGTCACCCTTGGTTCCCTCCTTTCCTGATGGACCAGGAAGACCCTGCTCTCCAGGTGGACCCGGCTGGCCAGGATGGCCTCGCTCACCCATGGGGCCAGTTTCTCCTGATGGACCCTAAAAGGATGGAGGTGGAAGAAAGTTTTAGACATAGAGGTAAGATCAAAGCTGCGACATGTAGGTAGAAAATTAAGAAAAGCAGTAATAAACACTAAACAAAATTACATTTATAGCAGAATTAATGAAAAATGAGCGGTAAGATAGATGAACTCACCTGAGGTCCTACGACTCCAGGAGGTCCAGGTGGACCCACTTTACCTTGGAAACCCTGCAGGAGAAAAAAGCAGGTAAAAATACTAAAGAAGCAGCTTCCTGATGAGAAACATCACATCGATTCATGAGGTCACCACAGTTTGATTTAAAATGACTTAGATAAAATCCTGGTTTTAGATGTTTGGGTTTTTGGTCAGTAATCTGTGAGAATATTAATCCAGAGAAAATCTGCTGACTCCTGACATCTGTAAAGCTAAAATAGCTCCTATTAATCCAGGACCTTAATAGAAATTTTGCTTTGGATGAAGCTGAACTTTGTTAATCTCAATGACAAACAGACTGAGGTTGTTTTATTCCGATCTGACCTGCTCACAGTGAAGCTGCTGGATCATCTGCCTTTCTGTCAGGAATCTCAATTCTTGATTCAGATTCAATTAAATCCAGTAAACAGATCACTGCAGTGGTCCAGTCTAGCTTTAATCATCATTAGTTAAATCAACGTTGATCATCTTACGATGATGTTATGTTTCATTTCTGTCTTCTGCTGTCTTCTTCTTCTAATGGGGACAAGATGTCTTCTTTATATCGTCTTTATTTCTTGATTAAATGTTATCACTTCTCTACAGATCTTTGCTCAGGATCAGAGAAGATGGAGATTTCAGCTCTTTCTGGGATCTCTGCTGGATCTTTAAGCTTTTCTGGTGCCTTTTAGTATTTTAACTCCAGATAAAACCAATGGGTGGCCGGTTTACACAAGCACTGCTTTTATGCTATTACTGCTTATTTTATTGCTTATATTATTCACCTTGTATTTTATTTATACTATTGCTTTTTGTAGATTTGTTTTTACCCATATGGCAGTTGGTTTCCATTTGGTTTGTAAGATGCTGTCTTATTAAATGATGTTTAGGTTTTGCTGAAGGAAGCTCAACATGTGATTTAATGTAACATGTAGTGATTAAAAAAACAAAAAAAATTAAAAAATGTCATAATTTTATAGAATAAATTAATTGCTAAATGTTTAACAAACATAAAGACATTCAGGCAGTCTGAATGTCTCTAATGTTTACAGGTCGGGAAATGAAAAGTATCATACATTTGTCACTAGGAGACAACATTTACAACAATCAAATTGTGAATTTCAACTGGAACACTCTGAAAGTCGGGATTACGAGAAGGAAAGAGCAACAGGATGTTATTAAACTTCTCTTTCCTTCTCTGGTTATTTGCAGCATTTTTTTTTATTCTGTCTGCAGCAATAGTTCAGTCGTTCAGGTTTTATTTGTGTTTAGAGGACAACATGTTAAAATGCTATATTATGCTTTTAATAGTGGAGCCGTGGAGAATACAAGGATCCACAAGCAGGAAACTAAAACATTTACCTCAAACTCCAACTTCTAAATTCAAGTTTTAGAAATAATGAAATGGATAATTAAATAAAGATTAATAAAACGTACAACTTCTCCTCTCTGTCCAGGATGTCCAGGCAGCCCATCTTTTCCTGGGGGTCCCTGCAACATGAATTAAAATAATAAGCAAGGAAATAATGGAAAGTTCAGAAGAAGCTGAAGAAACATTTTATTAAAATGTCTTACAGGAGGTCCTTTGGGTCCAGGGAAGCCATTGGCTCCCTGAGGTCCAGGCAATCCCTGGTTTAACACAGAATAGGATATTTGTTAGAAACAGTGTGGTAAAATGTTTGAACTGGCAGATTTACAGCAAAGAGTTACCAATCAGAGGAAGGCTTCCTGTAGTGAACATAAATTAGCACTCACCCTCTCTCCAGGAGGACCTGGGGGGCCATCGCTTCCAGACGTTCCCTAATTAAAACAAAACATAATTAAATGAATAAATACACAACAGAAAAGGACGCATTTACCTGTTTTGGCTCAGCTTCAGTCTAGTTCTGCAGCAGGATGGTTTAGAGCAGTAAAGGTGTTATATGAGTCAGACGTAATGTCATGTTTTAGCTCAGGCCTTTTAAAAAACAATAAATTAAATAATAATTATCAGTAGTAAAGAAAACATATGGATGAAGTTCTTCTGAACAGTTTGGACTGAATTATTGTTTAAACCAACCTTTGCTCCTGGTTTCCCAGTCGCTCCCCTCGGTCCTCTCTGGCCTCTTGGGCCCTGAAAGACATAAGCAGCAATTATTGATCAATATTCAATAAAAAAGTCAAATCAAAACAAAAGTAAAATATCAATAAACTCTGCAGAATCTATAACGTCATTAAATAAATCATAACCTTGATATTCATGTAACTGCAATAATAATAGCTGCAGACACAGGGTTCTCTGCTGACCCCTGGAGGTTCAATCTCGAACTGCAGCAACAGTTAAAAATGTTGCTGAATGACATCAAAAGTAAAATTATCATTCAAATTATTTTCTGGTCTTTGTTCAGTTGAATTTTCTTTTCTTTGCAGATAAAATGATCAAACTGTGCAGCTTTTTTCAGCTTGATAATAATGTAAATTATAATTACCGTTGGTCCTCTTTGTCCTCTGGGTCCCAGTTTTCCAGTAACACCCTGATTAAACAAATAAAAAGATTTTAAACAGAGGTGTAAGCTAAATGATTAGACTCTACATAAAATAATCTGCAAAATATTGAGTGGTGAATTATGCAATTTAACTAAATGCAAAATCCCATCATTATTTCAGCTGAAAATAATATCTGATCAGGTAAATTATCTTACCCTTGTTCCCTTCTCTCCGTTTGACCCTGGAAATCCAGGGAATCCCAGAGATCCCTAAATAAAGAAGAAATAATCTTAATATCATCAGATATTTAAAGAAATACCTAACTTAATACATCATGATGTACATTTCTACCTTTGGTCCTTGTCTTCCAGGATATCCAGGAAGTCCAGGAACACCAAGTTTACCCTGAAGGAAAAAAGTGCAACATTTAATAACAGAACCCATCCATCTTTTTTCGTCACCTCTATAACTTTTAAAAATGATCAAAACAGCCATGGTTTGCAGTAGAAAACAACAGAAGAGACTAGTAGGCAAGCTATATGCAACAAGAAGAAAAGCATTTAAATAAAACAATGATTTGGGATGATGCAGCAACTGACATAAGATAATACTGTAATATCACCAAATAAAACTGCCTTAAATTGTTTAAATACACAAAGAAGAAACAATAACATGTCATGATTAATGTAACATGACCACAAGAGGGCAGCATAATGTTTCTTTTAATTGATCTTTTAAGAAATACAATTTAGTGAAAATTTGCTAATCCTGGCAAACTTAGTCAAAAAAAAACTTTATAAACTGTGTTTATTTCTGATTAAAAATTAGATGGATATCTATGAAAAGTGAAAATCTGACATTTTATTTAAAATCTTTGACATTTTATAAAGAAAAGCTTATCAAAAAATATTGTCCTCAATGACCAATAGATTCATTTTATTGGCAATAGAGCGATCAAACCTTTATTTTTTTAATTGATTATTATTCTAATATTTAGATGGTTTATCTCAACATTTAAGCTCCAAATCTCTCAGGTTGAGAGGCCTCCGTTCCATCACCCTAATCTTTAGTTCATTCTAGATCAGATCCAAGTCAGAACTCAGGCTCCAAGTTGTTACTGTTCTGTGTTACCACTTTAAACCTAAATCTGCCAGATTTTAAATAATCTCTGCTTAAATTAATGCTGTAAATATGTTGGTTACTTTTTACTTGTAGCATAAAATAGAGGAATTTACAGTAACACTGTTTTTTTTTTATAAATAAAAAGTAGTAAATAATTGATTGATAGAATTCTGATATTTTGACTGGTCCTGATTAAAGGTCAATACCTTCTCTCCAGCCAGGCCAAGTGGTCCAAGCTCACCAGGGGGCCCCACACGTCCCTTTGGCCCCTCTGGACCGTCCTCTCCTCTGGGTCCTGGCAGTCCGATCTCCCCCTACAACCAGGATAATCAACGAAGCCTTCAGTCAACAAATGCAATTATATATGGAAAGTAACCACACAAAGTAAAACATGAAATGATCAATATAATAAAATTTTATGTATTCCAATCAGTTCATGTTTAATCCAGTAGGACGTATAATTCATTTTACCCTCTCTCCTTTAACACCAAAGTCTCCTTTAACTCCTGGGAAACCATCTTCTCCCTGAAGGTAAAATAAAAGACGTAAAAAATTGGAACAAGCCTCCTATTGTTGGTGTGAGGTGGATATTATTAGCAAAGTAAAATAATTGCATGTCACCATGTTTCCATGATGTTTGTCATTATGGAGGAATTAAAGCATGAATGTTTTACCTTTTCTCCTTTGTGGCCCTTTAAACCACGGATTCCTTGAGCTCCCTGAAATCAGAGGATAATGTTATCAGTGCACTGATATGGAAAATGGGAAGCAAGAACCTCTACATGGCTCAGGTTATTTTACTTTAAATGTAATGTATGATTTCCCCAAAACTACAATGTCTTTACATTGAGGCAAAAAACATAATTTTAAGTGAAGAGCTTGTTAAATATAAATAAAATGTGCCGACCTTTACACCCCGAGGGCCAGGATAGCCGATAGCTCCCTGAGGACCGTTTGGACCCTGAAGATTGAATCAAAAGAGGAGTTAAAAATTCTGAAACAGTTCAAGTTGCTTCTTTTCACTTTACAAAGTCTAAGTATGTGTTTTTTTTTATGAAAACAAGGAAAATGATGGATGAAGGTAGAGAAACAACCCACCTGATTTCCTTTGGTGCCAGGTGGCCCCTCCTTTCCTGGGTGACCCTATACATAAAAGAAACACCCCTCTCGGCTTAGTTTTGAATAGATTAATTTCAGTTATTATAAAACCAATCAGAATAACTTACAGGAGGACCATCAGCTCCTGGCATCCCAGGCAGACCTGGTTTTCCAGTGGGGCCCTGCAGACAGTGTCAATTAAAATATATTATAAACAAATAGCTGGTAATAGAGAGGGAGGCTTTTCTGATGCATTTAACATCAATAAGGAAATTAGATTGTGTTTTGTAGTAACATATTTGTAATTAGATTATTTTCCAAGGTGAATTTCATAATTGAGAAATCTGAAGAAACTTTATAAATTCTCTCATTCATCATCATCCTGCTGCCAATCAGCAGCCTCATCGACTACCGACTGAAGTTAGCATACAGAGCTAACATCAACTGAACACATCACTGTGCTCCACTTTGTCATATCCACCATTAAACATCAAGAGCTCCAAGAAACGCTGCTCTATGTTACCTTTATTTCTGCTTGTAACATCACACTGACAGACAGACTGAGACCAAAACACCAAAAAATGGCATAAACCCCTCTAAGTTTTTTAGATATAAACCAGGTTCAAGCACAAAACCGAGCTGTTCCTCAAGGTGTGTGTATCACCTCATGTTTGTCCCAATAAACCTTCACATTCAGACATAAATGATCCAAGCAAAACACTGAATGTATGTCATTGTGTTTGTTAATGAGCCTGATTAATGTTATTTAATGGTAACAGATGCAGAGGTTGATGTGTTGGTGAGTGAGGTCAGATAAATCTGTCTGGTAGCCACAGTAAATGAAAGAAAGCATTAAATAAAGTCACCTTCAAAGTCTGATGTATGAATTAATATTAACCTGGATATCCAGGCAGCATTGAGCTCATCACTGGCTGCGATATCTCAGATTTATGGATAATTTCATAGAATATTTTAAAGTACAGAATTAAATAATTCATTTAATTATTTTGTCCCTGATTAAGTCTCTTCTTCAATCAGAGTGTTGTGTTTAAAAATAGGTGTTTCTCAGGAACCCCAGAGTGGTTAACAACTGAAATTAATAATAATAATTTGAATAACAATAAAAAAAAACTAAAACAAAGCAAAAAAATAAAAAAGTGGATCAATCTATAAGATTTAATTTGGGCAAACTTGTGATGTTTCAGCTACATTAGGTCATTATATTTAGGTGTTTTCTAAACTTTGGTGGATTATTTTTGATCTTTAATAATCTGTCTGTACATGATGCCTCGTCCATTTTCTCCCATCTATTCTTTCTCTTTTTTCTTCATTGGAGATGTGCCTCCATTTGTTTAACACCTGTGACGAACAGGGATGCTGTGGGTCTAGTAGATCACTCTGTTGCTCAGCATATATATCCAATAACAATTATCTAATCTAGGGAGTTTAATCCACTGATAAACCAGTCATCATTATGGGAAAGGAAACATTGGTAATCCCTGAAAATGGGCTCCCTCCTCATTCTATCAGTTACAAAGCCTCGAGCATAGTGATCCATGCTACAGCATTAGACAAGAGTGATTCGGCTACATTGAAATGTTTAGAACAACTATTCCTATGAGAAAGGTGATGGTGAGAGAACCTTTATAGATTGCTAACACTGTCAGCATATCGTCGCCCTGCAGCTTTAGCTCCAATAAAGTTGATCTATTAATATAGTTTCATATTCCAAAAATTCCCAAAAAGTTAAAAAACAATCCACTGGACTTTGTTTTCCAAGATCGAAGGCGTTTCGCTTCCCATCCAGGACGCATTCTCAAATTAAAATATCTGGATTAGCGTTGAGTTCCAGGCTTTTATAGAGTAGCCTAACTAAGCCTTGTTATGACTTAGAAAACATGCAAATGGAACCGACAGAACAGGTCCTCCCCTTAGTAATAGGGAGTCATTATGGTCTTTATTGGCCTGCAAGACCTGATACTGTATCGGTACTGTACAGTATCGATCATCAGAGGTCTTAATCTGAGGGCAAGCTGGCCGTATTGTAGCGCTGATCCACTGAGCCTGATACCTAATCTGATTTAATCTCTTCATGTTCCACAGATTGACCCACGGTAGACAGCAAGGCTCTACAGAGGGTCACCAACAGTTCTAGAAGATCATCATCCACCTTCTTTCCTCACTAAAAACAAACAGCTTTCTGAGGACATATAAAGTCTTGAGCTGAACTATAGGAAGTCTGTTTTTTGTTTTATGGCTTTACTGTTTATTTGATTCTTTACATGGGTCAGCGAAGCAAAATAGTTGTACTTTACTTTCTAAAAAGTGAGAAAGCTGCAAAGATTTGGTTTGGAGAAGTCTATAAAAAAATAAAATAGATTAGCCCAAAAACTGTTTTTTGTATAAGAAATGACTGATTAACCTAATCTACAATCTGGACTCCCACAAGGTTCCCTTTAGGACAGATTTTATTTCTAGATAAACTTAATAAATTACTTCAAATATTAAATTTAAACCACAATAATATTGAAAGTTGTTTCAGCTAGTAATGATCAATGCTAGTTTAGGTCTTAATTCACTGATTAAGACATCAGTGTTGGTTTATCAGCTGAAGCTTCTACGTTTTAAGGGAACCTACTCTGAGTGAATACAAACTAATCCAGTTTGTTCTAGTATTTGACCTTTACGGAAACACTGCAGGTTTCATCTACAACATTCAATGGGTTTGTTGTCTGGATAGGAAAAGAAGTCATACAGACTGTGATAATAAAATATAAATAAACAGATAACAGTTAATATGTTGGTATAATAAGAAAGGTTCATGACAATTTTACAGAGAAATGTTTCTTAACTTTGAGAGGAGAATAAACTATAATTCAGATTTCTAATTTTATTCATACAATACATTTTAATTAAAGGAATATTCCAGACCTAAAAACGTTTGCAATTAAAACTGCTTAAATATAATTCTTTTATTTCTAGATTTCCCATAAAGTAAAAGGCTTCTAAATGATTTCCTGTTTGTCTTAAAGCAGTTTGTCTCTTCAGTGTTACAAAAGATGTTTTTACAGTTAGTATGACACCTTGTTTTTGTGGATTATGTTAGCATAACATAACATAAACTGATGTAAAAATACAGCTTATCTTTTATAAATGTTATCTTTCCATTGTTTTATAGTGCTTTTCTTAAGTTTATTCATATTTACATTAACTATTGTTAGATTTGATTTGCATACATCTTGTTTTTCTTTTATCATTACTGTTTTTGTTATCCTAATTGTCCAATAATTAATTTCTTATTCAATTATTGTTTTACTTTATTTTACTTTCGCAGAAACCCTTTAAGCATTTTGCCTCTCTACCTTCAAAGAGTTAATTATTTTAAACTGTTTGTGTATTTCATTGAGTCTTTAAAAAACCGAAACAGAAATAAACAAATTTAGCTATTTTAAATGTTAAAGAAACAACAGAAAAAAAAACAACAAAAAAGAAAAAAAAAAGAAAGTTATGGAGCATAAATTTGCTAATCTGTTCGATTTCTGTCTGAAAAATCTGCCCAGTTAAGTGTATTTTTACCCATTTATTATGCATTTCTGTATTACTTAAATAAAGTCTAAATCTGGTAAAAGCTGTTTTTTTTTTTTTTTTTTCCAAAGGTCATTGTTTCTTAAATAGCTTCAAACTGTTTCTGGCTTCTCACCTTCTCTCCTGGTGGTCCAAGCGCCCCCTGAGGTCCTGGCAATCCCTGCAAAAAAAAGAAAAAGAAAACAAAATTACTGAAATTATGAAACAAACCAAAATGTAGAAATGATTGTAATAAAAGCATCCTAATGCAGACTTAAAGAAATTAAGATGAGATCAAATCCTCAGTAAATGCATAAAAAGGAGGATCAGCAGAAAGTTTGATAGAATAAAAAAAGGTCAGTTTTTGCAATATTTTTAGAGCTACAGTAAAAATACATCGATCTGTCGCCCCCTAGTGGTCAGGCTTACATTGTTCTGTTCGGGCGAGTTTGCAGCTTTTTAAAGCTGTTCTTGTTGGAATCAATGCAGAATAGTAGCTCATTTTTTTTCTGTAATAACAGCATTTTCTTTTTTTTTTATTTGCATCATTCTGCAGCAGCTATTGCCTTTTGTTCATCCATTTGTAACTCCTTTACTTCCTTTAGGGCATCTTTAAAGCAGCTTTTTGAACTAGAGAAACATTTAAGCCCCTGTGCTTTAGCTTTTATCAGACTGAATGGAGTTTCTGTGAACATTGATTACCACACAGTTAGTCAGATTAAGCTTAATTGGTAAAAGTAATGCATGAACATTCTTTGATCTGAACATTGCCTCATAGATGGTTTGTGTCAGACTGTAGATGGGTTTTCATAAAAGCCACATTAGTAAAGGACATATTTAACGGCGGTTCCATTACTTATTCTCCTGTGTGGATCTCTTCTTCAAAGTCCTGTTTCCTCGATCAAAGCAGCTTTGTATTAACCCGAGGTATCTTTTCCCTCCTTTTGGCACCTTCTTTTGTCTATCGAGCCGATATAAATAAAATCGAGCAAGGAAATTTCTCCACTGTGAGATCAATAAAGTCTATTATATCTTATCATCTTTGCCACTTGGTGTGGCTTATAATTTCAGACCTTCTAGATCTTGGAAGGTCAAATTTGTGCTGAACTCAGAAGATTTTTAAACTACTGACCAGAACACAGAATCGATTAAAGTTTTTGTTACTGTTTCTGACCTATTCCTCATTCAGACCTCAACATCTTTCTCCCTGACCTTTCTGTTGTGACTTGCTTAGTTTTCATGATGCATGTATTTTCTGCTTTATGTTGTTCAATCACAGAAGATCCATGTAAACATTTGTGGTTGTTAGCTTGCAGCCAAAGCTGGACTGAAACTATCCAAGGTAAACATTTATTAATCACTGCAGGTATTTTATGTTACATAATCTTTGCCCTTTAACCATGCCTGACTCTGGTCTATCATTTACATTTAGGGGAAGGTTAACTACAAGGTGGCATTAAAGAGAATGAGATTATTAAAATGCCTTTTTCAAAATTAGATAAAAAATAAAGTTCATAGTTATTTTATTACTCGATAATAAACAAGACTAAACAAGAAAGTCAGCAATCCCACATATTTTGCGACTAAAACAATTACAAACTATCAGATGCAGCTTAATCTGATAGTCTAATAGTGACTGAAACAAACTGTCTGGATGGATAAAATAAACACCTCAGTCCATATTTCATAGACAGCTGATTGTGTCTCACCTGAGTTCCTGGAGTTCCCTGCTGACCTGGAGGTCCTGGTTCTCCTTGGGGGCCCTGAGTAACAGAAAGACAGAAAAAAACAGTGAAGAGAGACAGTCTGAATAAAACCACTGATAATTTATTTCTGAATAGTTATTATTTATAACAACCAGATGATAGAAAACTACATAAAGAGATAAAAAAAGACAGAGTATTACAGAGAGAGACTGACCAGGTTTCCTTTGGGGCCATGGGGTCCATCATTTCCTCTAACGCCCTAAAATAAAACAGCGAAGACAGGATTTATCATTTGAAACTGGCTGAAGTCTAAAATATACTTTATCTGAAGTTATTAGCAAATAAAGCAGATTATCCGTCATTAATGTTTATATTCCCTGTTCTGTTGCATTAAAGTAATAATTAAAAGGAAAAAAATTCATTTTATTAGTGACAAATGAGTCTGATATCATATCCACATTTTTCTCGATATGTTGTTTTGTTTAAAAAAGAATGTGAGACGATCAAATGTTCATTTAAACTTTCAGACTGGAATTTCCTTCCAGAGAAACTGAGGCTGCAGTTTGATTTCAGTAGCCAGTGTTGTTTGTTCAGACACATTAAACCTAATGCAGCTAAAATAAAACAGTAGTTTAGTTAAACCTGATTTTACTCACAGGAGGTCCGGGAACTCCAGGAGGACCTTTAGGTCCGAGCAAACCACGAGGTCCCTGAGAGAGAGACACCAGAACCGATAAGAACCATAACGGCAACATCTACTCAGATAGCAGACAGCATAAAACCCTGACTCCCAAACTCAACACAAATGAATATTTTTCAGATCATGTAATGTTAATATTTACAGATACAATATTTAATACACAGAAACATAACAAATAAATATGTTGAATCTCTTTGGTTGTCATGGAAACACTCACGGGTTCACCTGGAAGACCTCTGGGCCCAACTTCTCCATCGTCTCCCTACAAAGCAGATACAACAAACGGATGAATAGATGATAATTAATAGATTAAAATGAATTTTTTTTTTTATTGTATTTCATACCCTCTCTCCATCCTCTCCAGGGGATCCTTGGAGTCCCATTGGACCTGGGTCACCCTAAATTAAAGAAATTCTAGATGAAGACATTGGATATTCTACGTCTGCTTGATTCAATAATAATCAATCTGAGCTCTGAACAGAACCTGAATAGAATATAAACAGAACCTAAAAAGAAACTGACATTAAAGTATAAAAAAAAGGCTTTTTTTTACTCACTCTGTGTCCTTTATCACCAGGCAAACCAGGAAGACCATCAAAGCCACGATCCCCCTAAAACAAATAATAAAAAATACAATAAAACAGTTTACTGTTGTTTAAAAATTCAGGTAAGAAACAAACTATCAATGTTGATCGTTTTATGATGATTTGGATTAAACTGGATTCTTGTTAATAATAATGGAGATTTTCTAACCTTGGTTCCCGGCTCTCCTGGCATCCCTCTGGCACCATCAGCACCAGCCCGGCCCTGTTAGTGGAAATGATCCATCACTATTTAACAAGTTCTCTACTGAATTTTTGCAGATTTGTTCGTGGACTTTTGAAAGTTAATTCTTTAATGGATGAAAAACTCCACATAGTTTAAATTGGTGTTTTTACTCACTCTTCTTCCAGATTTGCCTGGAGGTCCCATCACGCCCTGAGGACCCCTGGGACCCTAAAGGAAAGAGGCCAGAGGTGAGGCTCTGAGATACCCGTCCTCTAAACTGACCAGGCTGCTGAAATGTTACCTGAGGACCGGGGTCTCCTCCCTCTCCTTTCAAACCTGGACTTCCTGGACTTCCCTAAACAAACAGAAACATCATAGAAATAATAATTTATTCCTCCTACAGTAATGATGGTAAAGACAAAAAACAATAACATAATTTTAATAAACAGATTGCTTATTTTAGAGATCAGTCAAAATGATCAAACTTGTAGTTTTTTAAGCAGGAAACCCACCAGAGGTCCTGGACGACCTGTGAATCCCATTGGTCCAGGAGGTCCCTTTAGCGCCATCTGCAGAAAGCAATAAAGTTAGATCTTTTAAACTCAGTAATGATTGAGACGCACAAGTGTGTACTGAGATTTTCTTTGAGTAAAGAGAAAATCTTTTCTCTATATCAAACTTTCTGTGCATCATTTACTGACATCCTGAGATTATTCTTTTCATATATTTAGGTTTACTTGTAAAAGCTATTAATTTACTAATTAAATCAAAGCAAACTCAGAGACCAATAAATGTGAAAGACCTTTGGAAAATTATTAAACATGGATCAACATGGCTACATCACAGATTACTAGAATAAAAAACTTTTTGCACCGTGGAAAGGTTTAATAATAAAACTGACCCTGGCCTGGGACAAGATGGCTCTTGCTTGGGCTTCCTCTGCAGAAACGACAGGACCCTTATCGCCCCCACTCTGTCCGAAGCGGAACTGCAATAAGAAGATAGGTATTATAATAAGAAGTCAGATCTGTGTTCTGAATAATTGATTTAATGATTTTGAATCAAATAAAACTAACACTGAACATAGAAATCAGACAGAAGCAGCAGAAAAGGCAAGTGGCGACTTTCGGTTTCATTTAGAAGAAAACATAAGACAATATAATTACACCTTTAAAGTATTACACACTTAAAAGCATTTATAAAATCAGACTCCTTTAAAATCCACTTCAACACCATCATTAGAAAGATAAATCATGTCTGGAGGATAAATGAGAAAAGGTTCCTTACAGGCAGCATGACTGAGGTTCCAGGAGGTCCAGGAACGCCATCAGCTCCAGGCAGACCAGCTCGACCAGGAACACCCTGCAGAACACAGAGGAGCATTAAACATCAACAGAGGTGGAGAAATACTGCAAATGAGTAAGAACTTTTTCAAACAACCATCATTCAATATTCATCAATAATCTGCACAGGTAGAAAAAGTCAGAGAACAGTCTCACCCTCTCACCAGGGTCACCTGCTGACCCAGGAGGTCCAGAAGGACCAGGAGGTCCTGGAAGCCCCTGAACAATCAGAGATGTAATAACTTCAATAAAGTGTTGAGCTTTATAAATACATAATGCAATGTAGCCTAAACATTAACACCAAGTATATAACTACAGGCTAATGTAGTACTTACAGCAGGTCCTTCAGGTCCTGGAGGTCCTTCAATCAGCATACCCTGAAAAAAAAATATATAAATCAAAAACTGAAGACAAGATGATGCCCCAGTTTGCACAATACAGAAGTAGGTATTCCTATGATAGTACTGAAGGATAAACTGTGAAGTAAACATGACTGACTCCAATATTCATTGGATAAAAAACATCTTTAAAGTTTAGCTTAAAGTTTAGTTGTTACCTGCTTTACAATAAGAAACAACATTATTTTATCATTACAAATCTAGTTTCCAGTTAAGTTATCCTCAGGGAGCAGCTTGGAACTAAGTGCCTTGCTCAAGGACCCAGATAAGCATCCTGTGAGGCTTGAACTGACCACCCTAATTACTAGACTACCAAATCAAGTGAAGAAAAGTAGCAAAAAACATTTATACATTAATATTCACTCCTTTATCATAAATATCCATGATAGTGAAACGTGGTTAAAAAGTTATCATCTAAGTTCTGACCTTTGGTTAAAATAAGTATTTGTTCATATCAAGATGTCTTGAATAAAACCTGAAACATTGTCACTTATTCCCACATAGTTAAAAATACACTCACTGGCTCCAGGACTGCTGGTTCTCCCTTTTCTCCTTTCTGGCCTCTGATGCCGGCCTGAGGAAAACACACAGGCATCCAGGAACACAACACAATCATTATGGAGCTACTAACAAATCCAGGCCAAAATCAGAACATGTACTGCATTAACTTTGAAAACATAAACAATCAAAGCGATCACCACCATGATGCACATTAAATATAATCGCAGAAATCACATTAAGATGATATTCAGTTACCAATACTGGTCTCCAGGGTCTTGGTCCTCAACTTTTCTACATTCTTTGCAGATAAAAAGCTTAGTACTACTTCTACTACTACTACTACTACTACTAATACTACTAATACTACTATTACTAGTACTTTTACTTTTTGCATACACCGCAAAAAACATCCCGAAAGCTGATGCCTTTTCATTATATTTTGTCAGTGTATGTTGAATGTATGGTTAGTGATTCAGCCTCAAACCAGTACTAGCTGTAGCATTGTTTTAACTAGTATGTACTTAGAAAATAATATTTTCAACCAACAGTGTAACTTCAAGGTCTTTAATTGCATTCAACTTATTTCTCTGACTGATTGAGTTTGGCCTGGAATACCGTGGAAATATTTGAATTAAATTTTGTTTTTATTTTAAATATTTTAAGTATTTGTTTACGTTACCAACAGTGTATTATACACGTATCAGCTCTGTGTTGGTTTAGGGTAAATTAAAAAGTCAACAGGTTCAGCACTGACCTTTGACTCATGGCTAACTCAACCAGATCATTGAGAAGATATTGAAAACAATTGATCAAAGACCAGAAATCCTGATTGGTTAAAACGGATTTTTGCTTCAAAAGCTAAAATACTTACGCCTCCCTCGTCCGTCACAGCGGACAGGGCTGGACCCATGTGGTCCTCAGCCTTCACGGTCTCTGGTTCCGGCTCATTGTAGTCCTTATAGGAATAATCATATTCCCTCATGCCCAAGTCTCCGGTCACATAATCCTCCGTGAACACTTCTTCTCCCACACCGCCTGCCTTGGTGGCATCCAGCTCCTCTCCTTCCAAGGCTGGTTCTACCTGAGGCTGAGGCTGAGGTTTATTACAGCCCACAAAAGATGGATGGAAAGTCCCCCCAAAAAAATAGAGGAAAATAAAGATACAAGAGAGGGAAGAGAAAGCAATGAGATGGAAGATGTTTTGAAACAAAGGGGGTAGAAAAACAGAAGGTGTACCAGAAGAAGGACAGTTTAAATATAACTTACCTTATGAAAAAAAACATAATGAAGCAGATTCTAAAAACCTGATCAATCCATAATTCAGTCTTTTTTAAAGTAAATTAAGGAAATGTACCTTACCACTATAAATCTTCTGTTTTTCATCCAAAATCAGTCTTTATCTAACCAGTTTTCACCAAAACTTTTCTTTACCAGCTTGTTTTTAATGGTAAATGAATATAATTTTTAAAGAGTTTGATTCAAAATTAAAGCAGGTTTATACAGGAGACTTTATCTTATGTTTTCTGGATGCAAACCGATAATGAAAAGCTTTGTGAAAACAAACTTCTGCTAAGTTCTACTCAAAGCAAAACAAAGATCTCACATGTATACTTACCGAACACCTTTCTAGATATAAAGGTTAATAATCCAATATGGATGCTGATATGAAAACACTAATAGAAGCATTTCAACTGGCATTTCTAATCAAATTAAAAGTTTCACCAAACTTGTATCAGATTTTTGCACCAAAGTTGGCTAAACATGTTCCATAAAATCAACTTACATTAATCAGTAATTAATTATCTTTGATATGTTATTGAACAAATAAGAAATGATCACAAACAACATGTTAGTGTCATTAAGGAACCTTCAGCAGCAGCTGTTTTCCAGTTCGTATTTCTTTTAAATAAGAATGGATTACATCCATCTCCTCTGTGGTGAAACTTGACATCAAATATCATCATGTGGGTCTTTTTCATCACAAGGTTTTTGTTGTTATCCCAAGATCGTTTGGGTTTAATGAAGCATCTTGATCTGAGAACAAGACGGGAACCTTGCAGTGAAGGAGAAGGAGCCACATAAACATGTTTGATGAAGCAGGAGATGAATGTGTTGCATTCTCTTTTAAAGGAGTTTTCTCTCACATGTTACTTTGTGCTGATAGTAAAATGATGAATGGTTAGAAAAATGTAAAAGGAAAGAGTTAAACTACAAGGACTGGGCTCACCGTCATACAGCTAACAAAATGGTTTTATTCTGATAAGAATAATAAAGTTTTACTGCTTAGCTGTTTGGTTTAATGGACAAATGTGATAAATTCATAGAAGATTTTTTTTTCTTTGACATGGTTCAATGCGTGTGATTTTCCTTTTACCTGAACTGGTATTTCTTCCTCTCCAAACACCTCACCGTCTGGCTGTGGAACCATCTCCTCATAGTAATAATCGTCTGTAGGGGTGTGGCCAGCCTCAGAATATTCTACATCCTGATTGGTCAGGTTGACAGGAAGTTGTGAACAGAGAGGAAGTAAGCAGAGTTGATTGGGAGAGCAGGGTTAGTTGGTTCTGCTTTAGCCAGAAACCTGAACTCATCGTCAAACTGTGGTCACCAGTGAAAGGTTTTCACAACGGAGTACTAGGGCCATACTAAGAAGAGTTTTAAAAAAAAAAAAGTTATTACAATAAAGTCTTAACATTACGAGAATAAAGCAATAAAAATATGAGAAAAAAAGTTGTAATACTGAGACACAAGCCCTAACAGACAATTAATCAAGTTTACCAAAACTGCAGCCTAACCTTTTTATGTAAAACTTAAAATTAAAATAGGCTTCTTCATTAATCTCATAATATTACAACTTTAAGTTCATAGAACCCATATTTTTTAACTTTATTCTCATAATATCATTACTTTATTTTCCCTCATACTCCGTCATAGGTTTCCACTGGTGATTCACATTTCAATCTTGCAAAGAGCCATCATAGAAAAGAAGTTTCAGTTGCTTTTAGAGCATCAAAGACTTTATGCAATATGGAAGATTTGCAAAGTCATTGAGACTTAACTGAAATTTCTTCCCATGCAATTCTTGTACAGGTTTGCTTTACAGAGCTTAACAGCCAAGGTTTAAAAAGTGTGAAGTTTGCTCTTATTGGAAGCAACAACGCTGGCATGGATCCATCTGATGCAAAAGAAAACATCCCAGCTTGATGCTTCAGAGTGTCGAGTTTCAACCAAGGTCAGAAAACTGAGACATAGTGACTTAACAGCCTCACAGACCTGGACTTTAGTCATTTAATATACAATTTACCTTAAAGAATAAATCTACAAAGATGTTAATAGATGCTTAAAGTTTGCCATAGATTCTGTAAGGCTGTTGTATTCATATTTAATTAAAAATCAACAAAAATCAATAAGATCAAAGTCAGAAAGAGGCCAATAATAGCCAGACAGTGACAAAGCGACAGGTGGAGGTTTGTTCTGCAGCAACATTTTAAGTTTTATAATAGATATTTCTTCCTGGCTGCTGTATTATAATAACACACGCCCATTATCTGACTGTTTCCAGGTAAAATTACTCTTGGGGCTTCAGATCCTTAAGTCAAGTAAAAAAAAAAAAAAAACAACAAAGCTGTATATTGAAGCCATAGAGCCATGCTTCAGTGTGTGCTGCAGGATCATATCATATGGAGAGGTTGGGAAGGTTGGGAGGAACATATGATATATGCAAAGACAAGAAGGCAGAATGCTCTCATTGACCAACTTCCATTCAGACAGCGAGCTGGTTCATCAGTGAGGATTTACACCAAAATCTGTTTATCAGCTGTGATTTTACTGCAGATCCCACATGATGGACGGACAGGCAAAGAGAATGGAAGAGTGGAGCATAAATCTGTGGACATTTGGAGCCAAACATGAACCCTCATGTTGTACCTGTTGATAACCCAGTGAAGCCTTGCCAAACGGTGGGAAGGGTCTGTGGTGGGATTTGACATTGTTGTTGTTTATCTTGGCTTTTGTGGGTCTAGGTGGAGTGGGTCGGACGGCTGCAGTTGTTGAAGTTTGTTTTGTTGGACTTGAAGGCTTCACGGGTTTGCCGGCAGTTGGTTTGACCACCTTGGTGTTCACTTTGGACCCTGCTTGGGCCTTTGCTACAGGAACTTTGGTTGTAGCAGGTTTCGCTGTTTTTGAAGGAGCTGCTTTTGTGGGTTTGGGTGCTTTGGAAACCACAGTCTTTGCTTTGCTGTTGCCGTTAGCTTTGGCTGCATCATTAACTTTCCCGTTAACTTTCCCATTTCCAACAGGTTTCTTCGGCGTCGCAGCTTTGCCATTGCCATTTCCGTTCACCTTCGACACTACAGAGGGCTTCCCATTTCCATTTGTTTTGGCTTGAGCTTTGCTGTTGCCATTGGATGTCTTCCCATTTGCATTAGAATTGGCAGTAGCTCCACCATTTGATTTCTTCTGAGCAGCTGGTTTACCATTTCCATTCTTAGCTGGAGCAGATGTGGGTTTTGATTTACTTGCTGCAGTTGGCTTGATCTTAGACAACAGGATCTGTGCTGGAGTGGGTTTTACTTTGGATGATTTAGTTGTAGAAGCTTTAGATGCCTTGGTGGGCATCGGGGGCTTGACTACCAGCTTGTAAGGTCCATTCTTGGCTGACTTTGCTGGAGTGGGTTTAGCTTTTGTAAGAAGGGGCTTAGGGGAAGCTGCTTTTCCATTGACCGCTTTCTTCTAATATCCAGTAAAATAGTTTGTAGAGTATTTGTACAGTAGAATTGGCAAACGGACAGAGAAAGGGAGGGAGGGTAGATGATAAAGATACACGGAGGGGTTGGGAGGAAGATGAAAAGCACAAACAAAGGATTGACAGAAAGAGACAAAAAGACAAGAGTGGGTGTTTTGACAAACAGTGACATAAAGATGGCTAAGGTCTGGATGATTTACTGAGACTGTGCAGGCATTACTGGATACAGCAGAAGTCTACGTTTAAATAAAACAACAGTCAGCAGTGGAGTTACAAGATAAGTTTAAGAAATGTTGGTATTTTTATAATAATCCTATAATGCATCCTTTCTTTTTTTTTTTTACATTTGCTGTTTTCTCCAGTAATGCCATTCCCAACATCAAATAAAAGCAGCATCTTTGCTCTCTAAGTAACTGGAGGTTGTGGTTTAGTAGAGGCACTGGGGGGTGTGACCAGTCAGCTAAAGCCAGCTGTTTTAACACACACACACACACTGTAAACACAATCCCACAACACACACACCACTGATGCACTAAACTGATGCAGAACTGCATTAATGGGTTCAACTGGAAAACCAACAGTTAAAGCATGCAAAGGAGGGCAGCTTACTGTTAAGAAGACATGCAACAACATGTTAGGTAAAGGAAATCACACACATACACAAAAGTACAAAGAATATTATTTTATGTTCCACTGTTGAAAGTAAAGACATGCAAACAAAAATGGTTTGTTCTAAAGATACATTGAAAATGTAAAAAATTAAAAGACAAATACCTTAAAGAGTAACATAGGCTCAGTAGTGGCAATGGCAAAATGATCACATATTTTTTGATACAAACTTTAACAAACATGCATGAATTATTTGAACATAATGCAAACCTGAGCTTTATAACCATGCAGTGAAATAACTGGAAAAAAATGAACGCATAATACGAAAGACAGGAACTTCATGCAACAATAACTTTTCAGATCATGCAAATAATAAAACATTGAAAAGCAAAAAAAAAAGAGGTTTTGTTTTAAACTGATGGAGTTCACCTTAAACGCACATAAAAGAGACTCTAGATTTAACAAAATTTAAATATTTTATCATCAGAATTTCTTTATCTGGAGTCATTAATTTAAAACTAATTCTCCTAACCCATAAGGAATATTTAGGAATATCTTATTTGGCATTTTTATATTTATATAAAAGTTTAGCTTGAACTAAATTTTACTTTTAATCAAGTTCTGTAAAATCTAAATATTAATAGAATAATTTTAAATGGCATTTTTCAGCCATTTCTGTACATTCCGCTGTTTATTGTTAAAGATTTGTAAAACATTCACTTTCAATAAATGATACAAAAAGACTCTCAGCTTCTTTCCAAGAAGTGAGATTGAAAATTAAAAGTCTAAAACACACATAATGGGAATTGCAGATTTACCCTAATAAATAATCCTAAATGGTGGGAAAGAATTACAGGTGTGTTGTGTATGCTAAAACAACCATCCCTACACCTCATCAGTGCCACCACTTGGCCACAATGTGGACAATTACACATACATACATACATGACAACATGTTAATGACAGGAAACAGACATAATGTGATTTACGACAAATATGAAGAGGATGTTTAGGAGGTCAAACCTGATTAATTAGAAAGGGAAATAAAAAAAAGGAGGTAAAGACTGATAACTGATGAGAGATCCTTAAGTCAGTTAATAAAATAAAAAAATAAATAAAAAAGAAAGCCCTTATACATAACCTCAACAAATATGTAGAATACATTTAGTTTATATCTTATATTTAGCAAGTTTACTGTATATCATGGATTCTTTTATTGCTGTTTATCGTGTTAATTTTTTCTTTTTGTTTCATTCCTCAACCCAAATATCATTTTCCCTCCTTCTTGCTCCATTATTTAGGGTCTCCAGGCTGGGGAGGAGGGGGTGCAGAGGAGGAGGGAGAACCTGGTTTTCCTTATAATAATGGGATATTAATAATAGGGGCACTAAAGGTCATCCTGGTCCTCATCAAAGTACTGAGAAAGACGGAGGGATTAAATGATTGTAAGACAGATAAAAAGGATGAGATGGAGTCAGACAGGAAGATGCATGAAAGCAAAAAAAAACTAAAAGAGGTAAAAGAAATAAGGAAGGGTTATGGAGGGAAAAAAAGAAGAAAAGTAAAAAGCAAGAAGTACCACGTTGAGAATCTGCAATGGAAAGCAATGGGGTGACGGAACGATGCAAACCTTTTGTTTCTCACTTCATCTGAGTCTTTTTATAAAGCTTAAAGGTACCAATGGAATAGAATTCAATAGATAATCCACCCCGATGAATGAGAAAACCATAAAAGCAGCGGTGGAGTAAAAACAGGGACTTCAATGCATTCCAGGAGCAGTCATCACAACAACATCAACATGGCAGTGGAGACAAACTGTGTCTGATGATCACACTGAGTAGGACCAGGCATGCAAGCTCATGATAGATGGGTACTTTGGATGGATGCATGCAGATGAACCTTCTTTGAATAATCAAATCTGTGATGCAGCCTGTATAAAACAAAAGTCCCCAACTATGCAAAACAGCAAAGCCTAGATTGAATTCTGACCGACCAGTCTCAGTAAGCAAGCAGGTTCCACCATAAGCAGACCTTCAGCCATAGTCCTATGTCACAATTTCACCACCAAACCAATCGGAATTTAAAGTTCATGTTGTGCTGATGTTCTCTTTATTTCAATCCATCTGAACAAAGCATGGCAAACATTGATGTTTTTCTGTATCATCCTCTTACCCCCACCTTTCTGTGTTCCATTGCAGCAGAGCAGAAAACAGGGAAAACAGGGAAGTCATGATTAAAATGAAATAAATCTTTACAGGAGCAGAAAATAAAAAGCTGTCTGCTTTTCTAAATACCCCCAGGACACAGACTGTAGAGGTGGAGGGGAAGTGGGATAGATACAAACAGTTGTTGATGACAAGGGTGCATGAGGAAGACAGAAAGGGGAGCAGAACTTTGATGGTTTTATCAGATGACCTGATCTGAACCTGAGGAATTACAGTTCAGAAATCTGCCGCTGATCTCACTGTTTGATTATATCTATATAGGCTCATGTACTCCTCACATGTTAATAATAAACCAATGGAAAAAATAGATGTTTTAAATCTATTGGGAAAGAAAAGTTGCTACACAATAAAAAGAAAGTGAAAAGTGAAATTAACACAGCACTTTTGTTCCAGAGCTAAATAAGTGTATTTTTCTTCTTTTCAAATTGCTTATTTAAAAGGTTATGCTCACAAAAATGTTTCACCCAAATTCTAAGATTTATATAATTCTATTAAATAACAATATCACAATTCCACAATAACAATTCCCAATTAATTTTCTTGGACAATTTTAATACAAACCTAATAAATAAACCTTACAGGATCCATATTTATTAGTTCAATATAGATTATTTATTTAAAATACATAATAATCAGGTTCATATATTCAGCATTAATGAAGTTCACTAACTCATAATCAACACCTTTAAGTGTTATTTATTTCATATACGGTACATAAAGTTTGCTGCTAGAATTGCATAATAATCAGTTTACATGTGTGCAATTCAAGCAATAAACTGTATTTATTTGAAGTAAAGACACTCCATAGTATTAATTAAGAGTAAGTTTACTTTATTTATACTAAATACATAAACCTGATGATAATGTGTTTCAAATCAATACATTTTATAATGCAAATAATTATGCATCATGTCATTGATTACATATTAAAATAACATAAATATTCAAATTTGGGTAAAACACTTTTGTGAGTGTAGTTAACTTAATATGTTCTTTATGTTTATATCAACAGAAAGTGCGTGAAAAAAATAGGTCCATAAAATCTGATTGGGCGAGATATTTTGGAGCTACAGATGTGTCCTGATTCTAGTTATTTGTTTTCTATTTTATCTAATATGTGACTAAAACAGGTGAAGGGATGTTGGTTTATTAAAGACGAAGTATCGCCCCCCTGTTAGGTCTGTTACTCACATATGTGTTGGGATCCTGAGCTTGGGTCTTGGGCAGAGGGGAGTCACAGTCAGGGCTGTAGTGTTCACAGAAGTCATAAGCAGCCTGAGGGTTGGAGGCGATTAACAGCTGCTGGATGTCTCCCTTTCAAGGAAAAGTGGATATGAGTATTAATACAGATAAGTTTTATTTAAGTTAAAACTAATTAATTTCAAAATGTGATGAAATAATGTAAAGTCAGGTTGTAATAAGTTCCTTTAGATCCTGACCTGGAAAACTTCCTCATCAAGCAGACGAGCTCCAAACACTGTGATGCCATTGGTGTCCACCTCAGCCTTGTTGCCTCTGGGCAGAGGACGGGTCATCTTCTTCTTGCAGTCCAGCAGCAGTGTCACATTTTTCTTTGAAACAGAGAAAGCAATCCGATGCCACCTAGAGACAAGTAGGAGGAATAGCAAACAACAAGCATGTGATCAAACCCAAACAATAATATCAACTTATCCACTGAGTTGTTCTTCATTTCCAGAGACGTATTATTTTTAACCCCCAAAAACACAAAAATCGTATAATTTCCACCAGTTACAAGCTGGTTGCTGCTGGTTACTGACTTGCCATCAGCCAGGTTGATGCCTTTGAAGAGTGGGTAATCCTCAGGAGCTGGTTTGCCATGCTGGTCCTCATACAGGAAAACAGGTGAGCGTCCCAGTTCGATGCCCAGCTGCTGGATCCCCTGCTCACTGTAGATAGAGAGCAGGAAGGCCTGGAGGCCGGCCTGGGGCTTGATCAGGGTCATGATGGAGAAGTTCTCTGGGAAACGGCCTGTGGAAGAGGAAACACAGAGAGAAACAAAATAAGATAACAAATAATGATGAAAAATAATAATAATAAGTTTGAAATTTGCTGTTGATAGAATTTAGTTTACTTTTGATTTAGCAAAAAGTAATATAAGTACATACAAATGTATCTAAATCAATTTAAAACTTTTGGTTTTGAAATAATAGGAAAAAAATGTGCGACTCAAATCCTGGTGCCACCGTTTTATTTAGATAGTTTAAAAAAAATGAAGGAAAATCCAGGATCGCACGTGTCAGATAATGGTTGCTGACAAAGTTAAATACAAGACAAACAGAAAGAGTGGAAGCTGGCATGAAATCCTGAAATTAAAGTAAAGGCAGACGCATCACAGGATCAACACGGATCAAAACGTGAAGCTGGCATCCAGATAGGAGCTGGTAATAACAGGTGAGCCCAGCCAGACAAAGAAGGCTAACAGAAGCAAAGCTCAAAATCAGCTTGGCCTTATGAGGATTTCTTCATAACCACATAAGTGCTGCTTTCTGTTTTCTTACTTTGCTCCATCGTGTCGGGAAAAAATCTGAAGGTAATGTGTTGAAATCTTCCCACAAAGCCTGACTTAACTCCAACACAATAACACATAATTACACAGGAAACATTTAGCACCAAGGCAGACGACGGCTTCAGTAAAATTTTAAATATGACAGTCTGGGACATGTTAGAGCCAAACAAGCTACTGTAAAATGAAATGTACAATTCTTTGCTATATAAGTAAACACATACAAAAACAAAACAAAAAATGAAACAAGTGAACAAAAACAAGTTATAAAAGTATAAAATATCTGAAGCCTAGCTTGATATTGCCATGGATACGATGTGCATGCATTGCAGTGAGGGTGTGTTAACTAAGGAGGGAAAAAGCTAGTTTTAATTTTTTCTGTTTCTATTTTGGTCCAAGCAACTAAAAGAAAATCGAACTACTGATGTTTTCAATCAGAAATAAAATGGTTCAGGTTTGCCTCTCTTCTAGAATAACTTTAGATTCGTATGCGGATAACCGAACATTAGGCTCGTTTAATGATGGTGGTTAACTAATGCCTGATTTTCTGATGAGCTTTCAAATAATTTTGCAGGTAATCTTTCAGGCGCAGATTTTAGAAATTTGGGGCCCTGGGCAAAAACAGGCAAGGGGCCCTCTGAATTGAGAAGAAAACACATAAAACAGACCCGTTATACAATATAGATATTTTAATAGAATAGACATACATTATTTGTTCTATGTTTTGTTCCTCTCTTCTTGTCCCTTTTCTTGTTGTTTTCCTCTCTATGTTTTGTACTCAGACTGACTTTTCATGCTGTTTAAAAAAGAATGAAAGATTTTTTCCAAGCGCTAAGCTCACTTAGCTGATTGCTCCTTCCAAAAAGGCGACGGCAAAAGTAAATAACCCAGTCCTTCTTTTTACTGTAGACAAGCCATGATCTGCTTATCTTTTCTCATCATGACAGCAAACAAGATAGAGGAGAGCAGGAGGCGGGGTTACCAATCTACTTGCTCTGGGGAGCAGAGTTCTCTGCTTTTATATGTTGCCACCAAAGTCTCCCGTAGCAGAAAAAAAGTAGCGAGATTTGGCGCAAGGCGCTTTTTTGAAATAAAACTTGTAGAGGGGTCTGAAAATGCGCTAACTATAGCGACTAAAGCACTAAGTTCACATCGTTTGTTTTCAAATGGTTTGCTGTTGCCTCTTTGGATCTTTCTGAACAGCAATGGACTGATCCAATGCGGTGGACACTGAAAGAAGGCTTACACTTAATATTATAAGCGTTCTGATGGCATTTAATGTGCTCAAATAAGGAATAGTTGTATTACCTATTCATGTAAACAGAGTTTTGTGTGCTACCAGGAAGTTTGGGACCTAGGCAACCGCCTAGTATTGCCTAATGGTAAATTCCCCCCTGCATCCTTTAAAACCTGAATCCTACCTGAGAACAGTTGCTTGGTGGGAGCAGAGATCTGCGCCTTCTTCGAGATGCGGTAAGCATGGTCGGGGCTGCTGGAGCGGCGGGATGTGCAGAAGCCAGGAACCTTCTTCACCCCCTCAGGGAGGGAGGGGACCTGCAGGGCCCGCAACACGTCCACTGGATCTGATAAGGAAGAGAAATAATACTACAGATTTAGGCTGACTGAACAACTTCATGAAGCAGCAGAAACATAATAATCATATTTCTACAGGTTGTCACTGATTTTACTGATATCACCTCCAACAGAACATTTTCTGTAGCTCTACTGATTTCATTTGGAGTAAAACTAATATCAAAAGTTATCTTAAATGTTTTATCACCACAGTTATTATGATAAATAAATGATAAAGTAGAGCTACCCTACAGTCTACAGCAGAAAGAAAGGCCTGTTTTGGAGCTGATGGGCGACAGTCCAAAGCACATATATGAACCGGGTGGGTCAGCAAAGCTCAGCTTACATCTGAAGCAGACAGTGGCCTCTTTTCTGCTCACATTCTTCAGCTGGAACAAGTGGCTGTTGATCTGATACTGCTGACTCAATCTAATGTTCACCTGAAGTTTTACAGGCTAGTTTACCTCATATAAACTCCTGTCATCACAGAGATCCATGCTTAGGGGGCATAAAGCAGAATAGGTTTTCTAATATAAAAAATACATATGATATATAAAAATAAGCAGTGAGCAGTAGACAAACATCCTGTTTTCACAAACTGGGATTAACCTTCAGGTTATTATTGTCTGTGGCTTACTGGTATTCTGCAGATGCTAAATGTGGGAGAATGTGGATTCTCTCTGGGTTTTCTTATTTCCTCCTACAGCCTAAAACACAGCATTATGGTTCTTGTTAAACTCTTTGGTTATGAATGTGTTCATGCTTGATTTTCCCTTTTTCCACTTGTATACTGAGTAATTATTGGCTTCTAGCCTCTGATTTAATGTTTTAAATGATGTGACTAGAGAGAAAGGAAATATAAAAGTCGAGAATAAAGTAAAAAAATACAAGTAACTAAAATGATAACAAAATACGAAATTTGGGGAGAAGAAAATATGTATATATCAACATAAATGTATAAAAATGATCTTTACAGGAAGTAATGCATGTTTGTCATTAAAATATATATCTGCTCTTTACTGCTGTTTCATAAAGTTACCACTGATACTTGATGATACTAAAAAGTACAGTGAATGCCTGTTTCTAAAAGTTTGTTTTAGTTTTTCTTTTCAAAAATGTACTCAAGTAAATGTAACTGATTACTTTCCAGCTCTGTTAACTGAGCATAATTCAGGGCGCTGCCTGTTTACGATCGTATCTTAAATTAGTCAACTGGACCCTCAGCAGCTGTGAAGGTTAAATAAAAGACAGATTGAAAACTATTAATGAAGAATATCAGGAAATAGTTCATAGAATCCATCAGTTGACTATAACCGCCTCTCTCCGGTGGACTTTAGCTGAAAGTCAAGGTAAAACCTGTAAACTTTATCACTGAAGCAAAGGGAAACATCAACATGGATTTTAAAAATCCTATTTTTTTTCTTTACCAGCTTTATCTTTAATCTTACTCTCGTAATTTCTTGGATAACTCCTTCTTATTATTACATGAATAAAAAAGTATTAATGTTTTGGGTCCTCTCCCCACCTCTGTTAGTTCAGAAAACAAAACAAAAACCTAAATGAAAGCAATATTTTACATTTTGATTTTAACTAAACTTTCCTTTTGGATGAATCTATTATTTTTTAATTGAATTTTTCAGGAGAAATAATTTTTTCTTTTTCCTATCATTTCAAGGAAAAGTTCTGAAAAAAGGAAGCAGTAAAGCTGTGCTCACTTTTTCCAGAATTTAGTCATTAGCCTGTGTTCAAAGTGAACCAGAGAGTCTTTATTATTGTTGTACCCGTATTAAACCTGCAGTCAGTGAAGCGTGGTTCTGGTAAAATAGAAAAAGTAAAAATATTTACACTCCAACCATGAAAAAGGGAGTCCCTCTCTGAGAAAGTCTGAAAAGTGCAGCGGGACATAAAGTATGACAGTCAGAGGAGCCACATGTACAGAGCTCTGTGTTAAATATCTATTCAAAGCTTTCACATGTTTGTTGACAAAATAAATAAATATGGATAAATGTTCTAAACTAAAAAAAAAAGATTCTAACTCACAGTAAGTAATTTAATCTGCTAAAATGTCAAAGATATGTTCCAGTTTAAAATGTGCGGTCAAACCACGACCAGATTGTTTCTCTGATCAATCTCAAACTGGCACAAATTACATGTTGTTTTCATAAAAATAGCTCCTCTCAGAATCACATTATTTACACAAGTAAGAAAAGTTGGTCCTAAAAACGTGGCCAAACCTTAGAGCAGCTTTTTAAAACCTTTATCTAGTGTGACACGTCCCTGTGTTTTCGTAGTATTAATGACAGACACAGTTAGAGAAAAGAGTCCACAGATGGAAATATTTATCCATCCAGGCCAAACAGAGCATTCAGGTTGCTTCTGGGTGTCTGGACCACAGACTGTAATGTCACTGTGAATCAGAGAGAGGAGAGAAAGGAGGAGAGGAGCAGAAAGAGGAGGAGAAGGAGCAGGTGAAGGGAAACGCGAAAGAAACATTCAGGACATCAGCTTAGAGGGAGAATTTAAGATCTAGTTTAGTCTACATTTTTACCATGCATAATTTATCAATATAATGTTTTTTATCATTAAACAATCCTTTAAGAGTCAATAAAGCTACTGGGATCACTGAGCGACATTTTCATCATCAGGACTTGATTTGCATGTAAACCAAAAGGTGGAGGAGAGCCATAAGAGGCGGAGTTTTGAAGGGAAGGGTTCATGCCAAGTTAGAAAGACAGTGTGTTTTTTGGGGGGGACAGTGGACAGTGTGGTTCTGTGATGGTAGGATGCCGGATCAGATTGCACCCTGAGCTCCCCCAGTATGTCCCGTACAATGTGCTGCTCTGTTCCTTCCTTCCCAGCCCGGCTGCAGGCTTCAGCCGGGGCCCTTCCTGCCTAAAGGACCACAATCACACCAAAAAATAAACCCTGAAAAAAAACAACAACACACAGAGCAGCAGAAGTACTCACAGCACTTATATACACCTCACGACACCACGGGTGGGGGGAAATGAAACCAGACGAGGTATGAAAAGAGGCTGCTGAGGGGCCATAAACTCTCCTTGGTCACTTTCTGTTGTTTCTGCTCCCTCAGCCTCGTCTAACGGCTCACAGATGGCTCCAGCCTTTTGATGCCAGTGTGGCCTAATTTCACCGCCGTCATTGAGACAGGAAGCAGGTCTCTGAGGATCGTGAGAACGGTTCTACTCAGAGCTGGATAGGACGTCTACAGTAGCTGGTGAAGGTACGCTCAACGACAAGGCAATTAGCTGAAGGTTAACAGAAAACAATTTTGTCAGGAAAATGACACAACGGTAAAAGGAGCAACGCCTGAATCCCACTGTTCTCTTCTGCAGCTTCCATACCCCTAAAGAGACTTTAAAACAGAGCTCTGCATTCATTTCTGGGTTTTAAAACATTTACAGGGCTTTTTAGTCTGGCTCAGACCCAGGAACTGACATATAAGAGTAAATACAGGATTAAGGTTGTTTAACTGAGAAGAAATAGACGGAAATATATAAAAGGAAAGAATTATTCAGATTCAGTTGGAGGGAAAATGTCCTTTGCATAAATTGCATGAATGTTTAGGTTTGGTGTTAAAAGCTACGAAGGGCAGATTTTTAACACTGGGATTTTTTGTATGTAGGTGGGATGTAAAACTAAATCAGAACCACCAACATAGAGGAACAGGATGCCCCTGAGTTTTCCCTCATTAATTTACTATTTCTGACATAACCGAACTGATTTGAATCACAGAGTTGCAGAGAACTTCATCAGAAAACCTCTGAGTTACTGAAGGCCATCGGCTCCTCAAATAGCCTGATGGAGTCGATACTTAAACACCTCAATCCAGATAAACTCACATGTAAGATGTGTGCATTAGAACATGGTGGCATACTGTAGGTCAGCTTCCAGCATGTGACCAACAATGTATAATTTCTGTTCCCTTAACTTAACGTTTAGCTCTTTAAAGTAAACAAAACTTAAACAAGCTAAACATGAAGATCATCAGTTAAGATCAGTTGTTACTTGAATCCAATAAACCAGGAGGAGTAATGTTGTAAAATAAGGTGCTGCTCAGAGAGCTGTAGTTGCTACTAGCGGCCACTAGATGGTGCTGAAACAAATGCAATTAACAAAGGGGGCAATTAGAGAGGACAATCAGCCTGGGAAAAATGAGCAGAACAGGAAGTATGGAGATATTAAAACACTTTAAAGTGACAGAAATAATCATAATTAAGGGGAGCTAATCAGAAAATATGAGGATTTAAAAAAAATAAGATTTTATTAAATTTATGAATAGATCTGGTGAGTATATAAAATAGAAATGAAATTGTGATGAATATATTAGTTATTTTTCTTTTAAAGGGCCTCCTAAACATACTAATTAAACTAAACCCTAGATAAAAAAAATAAGGTATCTGCCCCCTCTGATGGACTTGGGATGCTCCACAGTTTTTTTTTCTCCTACCATTGTGTACCAGAATACCTCTGTGTTGGTTTTTCTGTGTGTTTTCTTTCCGTTTCTTGCACAGCTTTGACAAATACCAGACACACACTCCAGCCGACACACTGACCCCTCACCTCTCACCTTTACACAACAACCGCTTTGTCAGAAACACCGAGCGAATGAAACGTGTTATATTTACAACGCATCAACACACATGCAAGCAAATATACTTTCACAGTCCGTCTCAGCTCCTCTAAAGCTCACAGAGACCCTGGTAGGAGAAAAAGGAATGAATGCAGACGTCCCAGAGGTAAAAACAGTCAGAAATAGTTTAATGTTGAAAACAAATTTTAAAAAGCATTTTTCTATTCAAATCCACTTGTTCCTCAGGGAGCAGCTGTCCCTCTGTCCACCCAGAAAACCACACTGTTAGGAGGTATGCAGGAGTCAGAATGGAGGTTATAATTTTAAACATGGAGCTCTGTAGTTATGATTTATTTATAATGCCCTGAGCCAGAAAACGTCTAACGAGTTTCCATGCAAGACAGAGAGTTTTTACAATTT